AGGAGCCGACATATCGCTTCCCCTTTGATTGGATAATATATCATTTTTAGCATAATTAAAATCATCATTTTTTTTTATCCTGGCTACACGTGGCGTTATTTCTCCGTCTGTATAACACAGCTAGTGAATTAGTCTAAATATCCATCCAATGCATAGTAATATTTCTTTTTCATCACTTTTTTTATTCTTAAATATAAGCGTTGTCTATTTCTATCTGACAAGCACACACATGGACTTTTTCATTAGTATAGAAAGTCCCTGGCCAACAATAGCAACTACGTCCGTTTGATGATCAATTCATTATAAAAAAACAACTAAACTCTCTAAACTAAACTATGTGGACAGTGGGTCATCGCACGCAGGTTTGTTTAACAAGACAACTGATTGGATAAATGTGATATTTGATTGTGTATTCGATATTTGAACAAAAAGTTAGATAATCACTATTCGTTTAGAATTAAATTGCGAAGAAAGTGTTCGTGTAACAACCCTCCCCTTTTCCCGTTTTCGCCTTCTTATTTTTACACTTTCTTTTTTAACAGAAAAGTATTAAATATGAGCGTACTGCAAGTTTCTAAATTTTACAAGCATTCTATATAGCGACTTGTGATTTCCGGGAACGTCATATTTTCAAGATTTCACAGACCTCTGAAAAAGTTAGAACATACAAGTTTCATCTACCATTTGCAGAAAAAACAATACCAAATTATATTTGTAAATTGGAAGAGATTAAGAATTATAGTTTAATATCCGTACTAAAAATCGTCTGAAATATAACAAAACATATTTCTCTCTGCCTGAATGCAATCGAAAGCAAATTTTCATTTTATTCTTCATCTATTTGCAAAAGACGAAGAATTCTCCTTAAAACTGTAAATTATTAAACAGGCATACTAACTTTAAAGGATGAAATACAAGTTTGTACTACCATCCAAGGAAATAAGTGTTCCATAAAGTAACTAATCCTTAATTCACAACCGTCAAAACTCAGGACTCATTTTTGATATTTACCTGAGAGATCATAAAGGACATACATCTACCAAGAACTTATTATAACCAAAATGGCAAAAATGAAACAATATCTATTTTTTTTTTGGTAGACGAGTAGCAAATTGAATAAGGAAATGTTATTAAAAGAGAATTAAGATGTATGATAATTTTTCCAAGCAAAGTGGCAAAAACATGCATATATAGAGTTAAGTAGGTGCAAAACAAAACTATATATTAATAGTCAATTTCGACTATTTAATAAAGGATTATAGGTCGAACACGACACACGATTCTTGATTTCCAATGTACATGATTTAAAACCGTGTTTTTTCTTCTACAGATTGCATTTTGAAGAACACATGCTTGGCCATGATCGTTGAATGTTCAGCGTACAATATTACATAATATTCAGGATGATTTCAACGAAAAGCAAACGAAAAAGATTTATTTTTTTAAATCCGAGCATTCCTTAAATTCAACATTTAAAACCGTTTTGTTTTACGCAAAACATATAAAATTGAGAATGACTGATGTACTTTTTATTCTCTCTAACACTTAGGATTGGTAGTCCCGACAGCTTTCTCTCCATTAGTAAGGGAGGTCCTGGGTAAGGGAGGTCCTATTCTTAACAGTAAGCGAACACTGAAAAGTCACAGGACAAAAAGTCACAGGACAGGAAGTGACAATTGTTTAAGTATGTAAGAGAAATATCTTGAAAAATTACTTTGTATTACATATATTCTTTTTACAGTTTATGAATTTGTTCATTAGCCTTGGTAAATGAAGATTTATTAAATTCTAATCATGCAAATGATGTAATATTTCTTAGCACCATGAAGCTGTTTAGGTACCAATCCACTTTGATAGTTTGTTTACTAAACAATTATTTGTTCATTTAATACATTTGTTTACAGAGTTGGTTTATATATACAATAGTTCAAGATACATACAAAATATATTTTTTTAAATAAGTATTTTCTCTTTTTCAAAGAAAATAGTCTCAGAAACTGAATTGTGACCTTTCGTCTGTGACCTTTTGTCCACAAGCACGCATTATTTATGAGTAGAGTTGGAACAAAGGTCAATTTGGCTCTGATTCAAAACAATTGTTCTCTTGTTAACATGACCTTTTTTGTCGACACGCGCTCACCGTATCAGGCTAGAACAAACCAATGCATATCAATGTCACATGTGTCTTTTCCTCGACTGAATGTTATTAGCAATATTAATATTGGATACAATTGTAACGTAATGAATTGCATTTGATCCTAGTCCTAAGTTTAATTTTTGGTTGAATCAGTTGAACATCTAAGTGATCATCGATGTGTAATATTTGACACTGGACATTATTTTAGGAGCGATGCAATACAAATAATGTATTTCTATCAATCATTTACTTCAGTTAAAGACTTTTGAATGTAACAATATGGTACAAATCGATTTGATTTACTAAATACATATTTCTTTTTATCGAAATGAAAATATTATAAACTGCTCCCGGTTAATATACATCTATGATATAAATAAGAAGATGTGGTATGTGTGCCAAATAATCATCTCCATCCAAGTTACAAAGTATAAAACAATTATAGATTAAAAATACGGCCTCAACACGGAGCTTTGGCTCACACCGAACAGCAAGCTATAAGGGTCCCCAAAATGACTAGTGTAAAACAATTCAAAATGGAAAAACAAAGGTATAATCTATAAGTACAGTCATTTCGCTACGTTATTCTATAGCTTTTTGGTCAATTTCGAAAAAGCAAGTAAGCATCTCACTGTTTTTTAAATGAGAAGTAACGCTGGTGTTATAAAAAAAAATCTGATACGAAACAGAAATATAAACCGTACACAAGATTTTATCAATCGTTGTTTGATATTTTTCTATATGATTTATTCTTGTATTAGTTCTTGCTAAAAAAAACTTGATGATAAAAAAAAAATCAAGAGAGGTATCGAAATCGGTCTTTATAGGTACCTAATGGTAAATATAAACTGTCAACTAAATTCTTAAAATATTCTTTATTCTTGTTGCATTTTTTTTGAAAAAATAATGTTTTATTTGTCAATGTAATAATTTTACCCGGTAAATCCTTATATAAGATAAAACATGGAACTTTATTCATTTTACGTCCATAGATAAAACATCATAAGCGTTGCATGGGTAATTATTTAGATAGTTTATGACAACCCGTTTCGGTTGACTGCTTAGATAATCCGTTTATTGAAATGTAAATAACTTTCACCAAGCAACTGTCATCTGTATAATATTTAAAAATTTAAAGTAAATTAGATACTTAGAATATATTTTTCTTGACAAATTTTATATGGATCAGAACTATTATTTTACATTAGAAACAAAAAATGTTTAAGAAAATTTCAAAACATCTTTGGGATATATTACTTATCATTATATCTTTATGGGCGGAATGAATAAATACAGGACTACTTTATGTCAGAAAGCACGACTGCAAAGTTTTAATGACTAACACATTTCCCGGTTAAGACAGTTAATCTTTTCTTATATAACCAATTACATGTAAAAAATTCTATCGGGAAAAAATGAATTGTACGTTTGCATACGTTATTTAATGAAATAGATATACAGTATTATATTAAAAAACCACAAAAGAATATCCTCCTAGCTATGCCGATTTTATTCATAAAGGGGAGTAACCCCTGATAAACACAGATAAAGTGTCGCTCGTTTTATTTAAAATATTTAAAATCTTAACACGACTGAACACGATCTTACAGCAACTAAACAGATTTTTTACCTTTGGTCTTATTTTATCTGAACGTGATCTAATCAAGTCTTATTTGAACGCTAGAAGAATCTGTCTTGTTTATGTTGACCCGACTGATCTGACTGAACACGATATATCGGAACAGAGTCTGAAAGTCTAAACCGGTCTTAACGTTTTTCACTAGCAGTAAATCAAGGCGATTAAGACTTAAATCTTGCTACTAGTGTAGGAGATACTCATTTATTGATTTCAATGTCAAAAGGGTGTCCATTGCTAGGAAGTTAATACCCAGAGACGGAACAAACAGGGTTCAACTTTATACCCCCTGGCTATCTTGAGAGTCAATTGATTTATCATCGCTGCTTAATATGATTTGTGCTTTTAATGAAGCAAATCAAACAGAACTATCTTTGAAGATTTGAACGTTATTCCCTTTTTTAATATCGGTCATTATGGAATCTATAAAGGATGTAGAAAGGTAAAATTTTAAAAATCTGGAATTTAAAATTTAAAATTTAAATCAGAAGAGCATTAGTGAAGGAACAAAATAAACTTAAAATGTTGATTATGGATAATGGAACCCCTTTTCGAGATCTTTAATTTTTTTAAATGGCGGAAAAAGGCTGACTCGGACATTTATTTTATATTTAGCATTGGCATTATTTGGGTCTCAAATTGTAAGAAAAGAAATATAGAATCTGCTTAAATTATGGTAATGACCTTTTTTGAGATATTGAAGTCTTCTATGAAAAGAAAGACGAGTGATATGCGGCAAAATATTTTACCCTGTATCGTAGGAAAAAAACATCTGGCCAATGTTCCTAAACCTGACATTACTACATCCTTAATTATACAGATTATTAAGATCATGGATCTTGTCGTTTCATATTTACAACATACAATAAATATTGTTTTTTTGTTTTGTTTTTTGTTTTATCAATTTCGACTGTACGGCGTAATTTATATGTTTTCTGACATGATGATCTTTGATTTGTAACTGTAAAGGTAGCAACTATATCCCTAAATTTTATTTTGATATGATTTATCGCCAAATTCTAATAATTCTTGATGACCGTATTGTTATCATGGTTATGCATATTTTGCTTTGTATCCAGAAAAATGTATGTGCTTAAGTCTATTGTCATGCTAATTTGGGGTTCAATACTGGATGGGAGTTGAAGTCGTGTTGCCTAGCTTGAGGATTTATTTGTTGCTTTTTTTTATTAAACTTTGTTATGCCATTTTGTATGTAAATATTTCTAGGTTGTCGGTCGGCAAAGAAAATCCAAACGCCAAATGCGTATAAATACAAACTACTGTCAGATTATGGCATCAGTGTAGATAATCATGAAAGGTTTAGTATCAAGTTCAAAGTGATGGCTAAAAATGATGCACATTTGGCTTTGATGTCTTCCAATAATGAGAAGGATCCTTTGTATGAGTTAGTACTAGGTGGTTGGGGTAACTCAAAGTCAGTAGTCCGTGACAAGAAGCAAGGCAGAAGCTTGTCGGAACATAAAGGAAAAATGCTTCGTCCAAATAAATTAGAATCATTTAAGGTTATATGGAATAAAGGGAAAATCCGAGTAGAGGACGGACGTGGAAAGAAAATCATGGAATGGACTGATACGTCAAATCCATTAAAAATAAGAGATATTGGAATATCTACAGGCTGGGGAGCAACTGGAACATGGTCATTTCCATGTCAAGGTATCTGCTTTGTTTTTTATATATGTCAAAATATAGTTTCTCTTACGGAAATAAGATTACGTTTTTGCCAGGCTTGTTTGTTCATAAAATATCTCCTTCAAAACACATTTGCCACATTCAGTTGATACGATATACAAGAATCTGAGTTTCCTTGATGAAGGGTAGCTGTTGACAAGGCTCGGTCTTTAGTTTTTCTTTGATACGTTTTGAAGACATGATTGTCTTTTGTGTTAAAGGGAAGCATGTTGTTTTCTGTTTTTCTTTGACTTATGCATTGTTTTGTAAAATTAAGGAAGAATTGTATTTTTGGCTGTAAATTATGTCAAAATATAGTTTCTCTTACGGAAATAAGATTACGTTTTTGCCAGGCTTGTTTGTTCATAAAATATCTCCTTCAAAACACATTTGCCACATTCAGTTGATACGATATACAAGAATCTGAGTTTCCTTGATGAAGGGTAGCTGTTGACAAGGCTCGGTCTTTAGTTTTTCTTTGATACGTTTTGAAGACATGATTGTCTTTTGTGTTTAAGGGAAGCATGCTGTTTTCTGTTTTTCTTTGACTTATGCATTGCTTTGTAAAATTAAGGAAGAATTGTATTTTTGGCTGTAAATTATTTCAGCGCCATTTTTATATACATTTAACTATGCAGATTCTTTTCCCTTCTACATAAGTTTTGCAACAAAAAAGTAAAATTATGAATAATACATTTCTCTGAAAAGACTAAAATGTTCTTCAACAATATTTTACTCCCTACTATATGTGTAAACTTTAAGTAAGTTATGCATGACATTGCTTTATAAAACTCTTGACTCTATTTATTAATTTACACTTATCCTTTATGATATAGTCTTCAACATTAGCAAATCAGTGTGAGGACCATAAACTTGAGACTACACAGAGTCAGAGGGCATTCTTAACATATTTAAATCTATACAATTCCCTTGAGATCAAATGACGTGGATGATAAGAACTTGAAGTCCCCGTACGGTCTTCATTAATAAACAAAACATATACCGTGTAGTAAGCTATTCAAGTACGGCAAAGTGCAAAACAATTCAAATGCCCTAATTTATTTTATTAAACAATTGACGAAAACAAATATAACAGACATAAAGTTCGGTAGCCCTCATTTTGATCTTAAAGGGGTGTTTAAGTTTAATTTAACTTTTAAGGACAATTTCTCGCTATGGTGACTTTGAATGGACTTACTTATTTAATTGAAAATAAAAAGTAAAATCACAAAAATACCGAACTCCGAGGAAAATTCAAAAAGGAAAGTCCCTACTCAAATGGCAAAATCAATAGCTCAAACACATCAAACGAATGGATAACAACTGTCATATTCCTGACTTGGTACAGGCATTTTCTTAAATGGTGGATTGAACCTGGTTTTATAGCTAGCTAAACCTCTCACTTGTATGACAGTCGCATCAAATTCCATTATATTGACAACGATGCGTGAACAAAACAAACAAACACAAAGGTAAAAATGTCAAAATTAGGGGTACAGCAGTCAACATTGTGTTATCATCTTAATCACTATAAAAACAAACAAATGTAACAAAGAAGCACAAATAAGGCATACATCAAATCTAACTTCCTCATTTTGCTTTTTTATTACACGATTTTATTTATCTATGTAAAATCCACCCATAAAGGATGGAAGGTTTTAAGTACTTGCGTAGAATCGCGCGTTTGACGTCACACAGGTAGATATAAAATAATTTTGTCGTTCAAAGTATGACGGGATACATAAGTACAGAGTCACGTCAAAAGGATATAACAAAAAACAGACTTAACTTAAAAGTAATATTAATAAAGAAAAATAAAAAAATACTATAACACGTTATTAAGATGATAAACAACGTCAGTACGCAGAATCTATACTTCAAGACCATCGTGTATTATTTGTGAAGTTGATACGGAATATTTATCAACAAGGTCTTGGTACCTTCCGATGAACTTTTTTTAGAAAAAGGACGAGACGTTCTTTGACATACCCCTGGTTCATCAACTTTGTGCTCAGACACTTGATGACAAATAACAGTTTGTTTTCTATGCAGGCAAACCAAGTAATTGTAAAGAGAAATGTCACAAAAATGGAAAATGCAAAAAAGGAAGATGTAGATGCAAAAAAGGATACACAGGCGATGGCATTAACGTTTGTTCCAGTAAGTACCGTTTATTCCAGTAGGTTCCGTTTACAAAAATGAGAAAGGGCATCATGCTATGTGTTTTTCAGCTAAAGATATTTTGCATTTGAAAACTTAAAATTTATCCACATCTGAAGATCAATTTCATTATATTGGACTTAAGGGGATATTATGGTGTATTTAATGCATTATCTTTCAATTTGTATTGGACTTTAACCAAAGGTTGTAAGATTTAAAAAAATAGCTGACCTTGTTGATGGCCAATAATAGACCGAACAGTTGAGTATCAGCACACCTTCGTGTTATGGCACAATTCTTTGCATTTATTACATAACGTTCCTGTAATCTCCAAGTATATTATTATTGCAATTGGTCTTACTGTTATTTCAAGTATTCCAAAGGTTAATATATTAACCCCTTATTGTTGCTTTTGCCTTTACCTTGTAAGAGTTTTTGTGTCATTAGAGTTACCACACATGGTTGGAAAACAGCCAAGCTTTTACGCAATACATTTATGCTGGACACACTACCACCCTATCGTTATTCTTGGCAACAATGATCATACTATTTCCAAGTGTCGTTCGATTTATTTCTACATCGAACAAAAAGTTGAAGTGTACGTTTATTACTAAATACTTTATAAGTCTGGTTTTTGAACAGATCATATGATGGTGGCGAAAATAACTTGGTTTGAATAAAACTGTGGTTAACCTTTCAATTAAGCATGATGAAGGTAAGCGTATGAGAAAGAAAGTTAAATATCTTGACTTTGGTGCACATTTTAATAGTCATCAGAGTATAATTGTAGATTGTTAAACGAGATGGAAATATACACCATATATACTTTTATAGTAATATTATATTATATATGGATAATAAATTCTAGTAGATCATTTGCATACACATGTAGTAAAGGTTACATTGACTAATTTTAGGTTAGTTTAGTTATTAATGTCAAATGTTTTAACGTCATTCTAACAGCTGTATGCTAATTTACAGATGTTTTGTTTCTTTAAAACTTGATAGTTATTAACGACAATTTGTTAAACGTCATTCTAAAAGCTGTATGATAATTTGCCGATTTGTTGTTTCTTTTAAAATTGATATGTTCTGTGTATTCTCTATCACCAGAAAGCTGTACATGTTCAGCGACCGGCGATCCACATTACAGATCTTTTGACGGACAAGTATTACATTTCATGGGAACATGTAAATATACTTTGTCTCAATATGTTAATCCAAAAAGTGCATGCAGATTTCATGTTCAAGTCAAGAATGAAAACAGAGGAAACAAACGCGTCTCATATACAAGATCTGTTCATGTAGTCGTCAGAAAAACAAAGATTGACTTGTTGAAGAATAGAGTTGTCAAGGTAATAACTTTAAATGCAATATACATCAAAGAAGAGATAGTTCATGAGTTAAATAAATATTCCTACAAAAAGAATAAGAAATAACCAAGTTAAACTAACAACGTAATGGGGTTAACACCAAGGTCAACGAAAAGACAAACAAGTTCACACATAACTATAATCATTGCTTGCATATAACGTCATACCGATGACCCCCGGTTTTTGGGGAGGGTTCGTGTTGCTCAGTCTTTATTTTACTATGTTGTGTTTTATGAACTGTTGTTTGTCTTTTCGTGATTTTTCGTTTTTTGCCATGGCATTGTCAGTTTGTTTTTTTCTATTTATGACTTCCAAAATGCCTTTAGTATCTTTCGCCTCTCATTTTGCATGCATTTTCATAAGACAAAAAACATATAGGCTGAAATAAAACAATCCTGATTTGATAGATACAACGTTTTTAATATTGTTGCATGATTGTTTTTGTTAGTTGTTATTGGCGTTGAACTAGCTGTCAGTAACTGCAAGTACTCTCAGATCTGTACTTAGTGCTTTTCTGTTGTGCATGTTGTGGGGATATATAAATACCCTGCTATGTCCGGTCTGTGTTATTGTTAGATGTCTTTCTGCTTTGTATCGATTTGACGAGTTAAGCCCTTTTCAACTGATTTTTATATTTGTTCGTATGTTGTAATGGTACACCACTGTCCCAGGTTATGGGGGAGGGAGCCTTCAACCTAGTTTAACTCCGCCACATTCTGTATGTGCCTGTCCCAAGTCAAGAGCCTGTAATGCAGTGGTTGTCGTTGTTGCTGTATATCATATTTGTTTCTGATTCATTATTTTATACATACATCATGCCGTTAGTTTTAGTTTGACTTGTTTTACATTTGTAATTTCGGGGCCTTTTATAGCTGAATATGCGGTATGTGTTTTACTCATTGTTGAAGGCAGTACGGTTACGTTATTTGGTTTTTGGTTGATAGATGTCTTTTTTGACAGTGATACCACATCTTAGTTTCATTTCAACTTACTAGCATTATATATACCGAACATAATTTACCTATAACTCGAGGCATCGAAGAAACGACTATAACCGAGAAAAATTTTAAGAAACAGGGACGCGTCAAAAAGAGGCGGAAGATACAAAGGGAACACTCAAAAACCTATAACGGAAGAAACCTGACAATGCAAAGGCAAAAACAAACCACAAAAATTTAAACGAATCCACAAACAAATATATAGAAATCCACAGAATTAGAAATATGAACTCCACTAAAACCGGGGATGGACTCAGGTTCTCCGGAAAGGCAACCAGTTCCTGTTATTTATTCAAGTACACATCGGGAAAAAAATCCCATTCGATGATGTCACAATCGAGAAAAGAAGACGGGATTGCGGTAACGACAATTGGAACATATCCGTAAACATCTGTAACACAGATATTCCATAACGGTCAACGAACTTGTGATGGCGCGCGTAAAACTGACAAAATTATAATCTTAATTTTACCATTTAAAACCCTTGGTTCAAAAGCCTCCCTGTGGTCAGTAATCCTCTATCGAGTAAAGCATGGTAGGAAACGCAAGCTCTTGAAAATCGGTATGTACTCCATAGTCATGCGTAATTGGAATGTTGCTACATAGAAATGAAAAGTTCACATTTCAAGAGCTAAAATCATCCCGTTTGTCTCATTTGAATATTATAAACATCAATGTGCTACTGAAAGTGTAATTAAAGTTAGATAAATAAAGATTAAAAAATGAAGGGACTTAAGAGATCGATGAAATATGTTGGGACATTTATAGAATAATTTGCTTGAAAAAGGCAACAAAAGTATCTTCCTAATAATCAATTGAGTATTATTGCCTAGCAAAGTTTTGCTGTAAATTTTATACAAATGTCATTTCTTTAACCAAACTCAACTCACAAATAGTCCATTGATATTAAATGCATTTACTTTGTAAAAAATGGAACACTCAACAAGAATGAATATAACTTTTGTAATCTCACTAATTATTATGATGCTTTATGGTTTACAATGAGTTAAAACAGGACTGAGCTAGAACAAAACCATATGCACCTTCAATCAGTAACATAGTTCTATAATCAAATACAAATATGACTGTTTTTTCACGTTGTTTTGTGCATTTATAGGTGGATGGAATTAAAAGATATCTACCATATAAAACTGGATATTTCAGTATCATAAATTCAGGACGTTATGTAAGACTAAAAACTACATGCAACGTCATAATTACATGGGACGGGAGAAGCGCAGCAACCATATCGGTACCAAGTCATTTTAGTCAGAACTTAATTGGCTTGTGTGGGAATTGTAATGGTATTAAAGATGATTTTAGGACAAAAGATGGTTTGGACGTGCGCACAAAACCGGACAAGTTTACGCTTATTGGTGAAAGTTACTTGATTCGAGAGGGCAATGGCGAAAAGTAAGCATACGGGACGTATATTTATACATAAAAGAGATTTGGCGTATAGTCAATAGCAATAAAAAAAAAAACCATAAAAAAAAATTCAGAACTGAACTTAATAGCACGAAGCAATAATGAATATCTACACAGAATGATAAGGCCCAAGCCGTTTTCAACCAAGATAAAGAATTTTCAAAAAAACATATTTTGCCTTTATAGTTGCTTTGTAGTTGAATAGTTTTTCTTAATGATAAAATAATGGGCTAAATAAAACATTATCTCAAAACATTTTGCTTTATCAAATGATTTGAAACTGGTTTCTTTTCTTAGTTTTTTTTCTGCGTTTTTCCTTCTTCTGTTCTTTTTGACCATATTGTTTAGTCATTGACGTTTTTACCATTGCGTATTACATAAATATAAAATCATCACAATAGATTGTGGGAATTTTTAATTTAAAAATAGAATTAAGTGTATCAATATTGAATTTATGATTACTGAACGCTATTTGTTAAAGAAATGAGAGGTTTAGCTATCTATAAAACCAAGTCAGGAATAGGACAGTTGTTTTCCATTCGTTTGATGTATTTGAGCTTTTGATTTTTCCATTTGATAAAAGACTTTCCGTTTTGAATTTTCATTTGGAGTTCAATATTTTTATTATTTCACTTCATTTTGTGTTGATATTTCTTCATTAATTGTTATTTATTTTGTTATTAACTTTAAAATCTGTTATTAGTTCGTGTCTCAAGTTAGGTTGCTGTAAAGCAAACAAGTAACAGAAATTTTCCTAAATGAACAAGTGCTTGAATGTACTAAATCATGATCAAAACTATTAATCTTATGCCAACTTGTTTTTTTTTCTCTCTATTTAGGTGTGGTGTGTCAATCCCGCCGGATCCTTGTACGTCAACACTGAGAAACAAGGCGATAAGAAACACCGCTTGTGGGCAGTTAAACCCAGTTAACCCTAGCAGTCCATTTAGAGACTGCTCAATAGAAGACGTGCAATTAGTTCAAGACATTTATGACAGTTGTGTATATGACTATTGTGCATACAGTGATCAACCAGACATATTAAATACAGTTGTTTGCGAAGCTGCTGAAGGCCTTGAAGAAAGATGTGAAAACATGGGTTTTGATATATCATGGAGAACAAAACAATTTTGTCGTGAGTATGCTATTCAAAGTTTGTTATCAAGTTTAAACGATTTATAATGCTTTTAGAATAGGCTGTTTAAGAGTCCTATTTTTTTTATTATTTCACTGTGCCTACGCCAAAATATGAATAATGAACCTTAATCTTAATTTGGGAACGATGTTTTAATCGAATATCGGAAGTAGAAATATCATGCGAAAAAAAAAATATCATTGCGAATATGTGAAACTTGGATATTTTCTTTAAAGAAATCATCAACAATTAATGTTTGCAATTTAAAAGGTAAATTGCCTATAACTCTGTAACGGCCGAAAAATATACGTGAAAATAGATTGGTTTACAATAGTTTACTGTGATAAAAAAAATCCTCGACTGATTTAGAAACCTCCTCACTGTGAGTTAAAAAATATTGCCAACAATCCATGTTTTAATTATCTTGTCATTTTTCAGATGATTACGATAAAACTTTGCATTTTAATACAGGGAAACTAACTTTTTACTAAATATTTGTTGGTTTTAACCTGATTAACATATCAGAATGTGTATGTATGTTCTTTAAAAAATCTATAAAACTTGAGGACGAAATTTGCCGGATTTGCAGGCAACGGAAAAAGATGATAATAACATTGCGAAGGTTGTTCTCGCATATTTGTATACATTTTTCGTCTAGTTCAATTACAAATGTACTTGAAAATTCAAGAATTCACAAATATTCATAATACGTACGTAGATACCAAGACGTATCTAATTGTGTATGAAAGGTGTGCAGTCTACAAATGTCACTACGCCCTTAGATCCATTTTTTTCCATGTAATCAATAAGTATTGACAGTTAACACAATTAAGTGGGTACTGATGTTATTATTATTGTCTCCTTTTGTGTATTTTAGCTGGAAAATTAGAACAAAAGGGGTCGTTCGATTTGTAAAAATAAATATTAAATAAACGACTGATTATATTGAAAATATCGATAATCATAGATTTCACAGCGAGTGAGAATTTGGGTGATTTAATTTTAATGCAATAATAAACGAGCCTTTGGTCATATTTATTATCAGATATTGATGAGTACAAAAAACAACGCAAAAGCGGTTCCTGATTCTAATTGGTCAATTGTAAAACTAGTTTAGAGTATTATTATAGACTTTTTGAACAATACCCATAAGATAAATAACAATTTAAACTTTGTCACCAAATCTTAAATGATAAACAAACGCTTTTCTTTATTCTTCGAAATGTTTAACAGCAGGTTAGACAAATCTATGATAAATACTATCTAACTCTAGAAATATTGATAAATTATATTTGTTGGATTTCGAGTGTAAAACTTAACATGATTCGTGAATTATGCATTGCATGAATCATTCTTATACGCAAAGAACCTTAAAGAAATAAATGTTTATTCATGTTAAGATTTACACTCAAAATCGAACAAATACAATAACACAGCTTTTTCTAATGATTTCAGAGAAACAAATACCTAAACAATGTTTGATAACTGAAATATCCTAAACGCCCATTTTTAGGTATCTGCAAAATGAAACCTGTACAGTCATTTTATTTTGTTAACACATAATCCGGCATGCATTATATTATATCTGAAATTAAAACTACACTTATTTATTTTGAATAGCTTTTATATGTGAAGACAATATGGAATACAGTAGTGCAGTAAGTGGATGCCCAGCCACATGCGTTGATCTAGACGCCTCTAAAACATGTAAACTACCCCCATCAGAAGGATGTCAGTGTAAAAAAGGATTTGTACTCAGTGACAACACATGTATACCAAGAGCTCAGTGTGGTTGTAGGCTTCCTACCGGTGAATACTATCCAGTACGTTATTATATTTCAAAACTCATAAAAGATATCAAGCTAATAATTTGGAGCGCTATTCATGCTCATCAGACTCATCACTTGTGCTGGAACAGTTGGAAGGCCAACTTAAGAGATAATTCCTTCATGTGATGCTCTATGCTCATTTTAACATGGGTAGGCATTATATTTGTCGATATTTTACACTGAGCGTTAGCGAGGTGTAAATATTGTAAAAAATAATGCCTACCCATGTTAAAATGAGCATAGAGCATGACTTGAATGAATTATTTTGATTCTAATAGGACAAATACAGTATTTTTTAGGTCGAAGCGTACGAAAATACCTTAAAAATGTTTGGCTGTTCCCGTTTCCTCCCGTGGAGTATGAACATTATTTTTTCATATTTAATAAGTTTAAAAACTAATACCAGGGTAAATATATGTTGTTTGATAAACAATATATGATGTAAGCTGCTAAAATGTAAATATTTTTTTAGGATAACAATGAAAATAGCGAGAATATAAACAGTAAGTTTGTGTACATGTGTCAAACATATTTTGTGCTAATTAGAACACGGCTTTGTTTGCAAAGCGAAATAAGGACGTCATATTATAATCAAATACAAAGTTTAAGAGCATTTAAAAACTTAAATAGCGTGCTAAATAAGGCTAAAACAATTCATGTCTTAAGTGTTTTGAAAAATTCAACATTTTAAAATAAGATATTTAACATTGTATTCATATCATTTCAATGGAAAGATTTGTTACTTTCATTTCGGATTTTAAAGGCGATCGTGTGTACACCCTACTTTTGTTTTTATGATTGCACACAGTTTAATCTACTGCACTTAACAATCGATTCCAGAATGATATATCAAAAGCAACTGAACATTGACTTTTTTTAATCTCTTATTGAGATTCGAAACTCATTTGAGTGTTTCATTGTGTTTATTTAATACTTTCATATTCAGTTTAGTTTTCAAGAACAAATCGTATGTAAAATACAATATTGTCTTTTTTCAAATAGATTGATACAGAAATTACATCCAGAGATTGTAGGACGGTGTCCAAATGCGTTGCTACAAAATCGGGTTACGCAAAAATGCAAGTCATTAGACGGCAAAAATGTCATAGGAATGCACAATGTAAATTACTCAATGGTGTTTATGATTGTGCTTGCGAAGAAGGTTTCAAAGGGGATGGAATAAAAATATGCAAAGGTATTGACATTTCATAGTCTAAATAGAAGTATTTACACGTGTATGCAAATGTTTCCCCCATTACTTAAAACCACACAAGTTGCCTCAAAATATTGCATCACAATTCAAAACATTTGGCGTCATGTTTTAAAATTGATTGCTGAATGACGTCAAAAGGTTATTTGGAGACCGATCTAGGGTCATTCGGCGACAAAATTCAGCTGAATACCAAACATGTAAATACGTTTACTATTGTGAAGTTTTACTTTCGTCATGTTCAGGGTTAAAGAGGAGGTGCATTTAAGGTTAAAATGGATTTGCTGAAAAAGTAAATATAATTTAACGCTGCAATATGCATTTTGATCTAAACGTAATCTTTTGATGCAAAGCAAAATTGTGTTCCTCTTTGTTTGGGTTTTTTATTATTTTGTTTTTGTTTTTAAAGCTTCTAACTGCATTTATTTTCCTTTGAGATCATGTTTTTTTTCATTTTTTCATTTAATTTTATTTTAAAACAACTAATTTATTACACTCCCAGCTTATATATGGAACAAACTTTTGACTAACGACAGACGACATCTGCTTAACTTGTATCACATTTATATTGTTACGTGATTATGACAGGACATTTTGTCGTTGAACCATTTCTGACTAGAAAAAAAGTATAGCAAAAATAATGAACTCTTAGGTAAATTCAAAAAAGGAAAGTTCAAATCAACTGACGAAATAAAACGTCATCAACTAACGGAACGGGAAAAAAAATCCAACTCTCATATTTCTGACTTGTATAGTCATTTTCTGAAGAAAAAAGTGGGTTAAACCTGGTTTTATAGCTCGTTTAGACTAAACTGACACAACGACAATAACTAAAGTGCTATTTCTTCTAAAATTATTTGCTGAAAATACAAATAAAAAAGGGCACCAAGCTCTTGTGATTTATACTTTGTATATTGAAATAATAGAAACAAACATCTGTATTCAAAGGGAAGCCAGAACCTGGTACAGACAAAGTGATATGTGAGGGCCTAAAAGGTAGCATAACATGTCCAGGGAAGAAAACAATACGAATTCTGGAAGCAACATATGGGAGAATTGACATGAGCACATGTAAAGACCCAAGAGTGAAAACAACATCATGTTCATCTAACAAACCATTACCTATAATAAGAAAAAATTGTGATGGAATAAAATCATGCATAGTATCAGCTAATAACGGCTTGTACGGCGATCCTTGTGGAGGAACATACAAATACGTTACTGTTCGATACGTCTGCGAAGGTATTTCTTAAACTGTTTAGAATGTACCTATTTACAATTATTTGGTAATGTACTTTGCATGTGTTACTGTGACTAGCAACATTTACAGTCTAGTCATAGTAATATGTATACCTATTTTAGTCTTTTTTCATACAAAAAGGGAGGAAATACTAAGGGACATTCACAACTCGAATATAAACTGACAGTGGCATGGTAAAACAAAAATCAAAAAGAAACCAGACAGACCAACGCGAACACCAGCATTCGTCATAAACTTTTGGCAAATTGTCAAAACTTAACTTTAGTGTTTTTTTTTAAGTTAATCAAAGCATTAGTAGTGGATGTAAAATCAATACATTTGAATCGGTTATTAATTATTTTGTACTTACATCGACTTTTTAATAAGCATCTATGAAAATGAGAAATGATTAGCAATTATAAAAAAAACCCACTTAATTCCCAAAGCAAACATTTCAGTAAAAGTAGGGTAGATGGTACATGATCATTCGTGAGTCCATATTTTACATGTTTAAATGTAAATAAGTGTTGAAGGTTAATACAGTGTAAAGGTTATGTTTTCCGGAGTTTTTTGTATTTTTTCAAACGAGATTTAAAAAGCCTTTGCTGTAGAATATACAAATATAAAAATGTCGAGTGTTATGGAAAAATATATAAAACATTTAACTGTTATTATTAGTTAATTTTTGTCCCCCGCTAAACGCGTTGCGAGGGACATGGAAATACCGGGTGTTCGTCCGTCTGTCCGTGCGTGCGTCCGTCCGTGGGTCCGTCCGTCCGGTCTTGTTAGCGCTCTCACAGGTACAATTCTTGCCAGATTTTTTTAAAACTTATATATATATACTATAGGTTAATATCAGCAATATCTCGTACAAGTTCTATAATGGTGGACAATCGACTTTTTTTTAAAGAGTAATGCCCCTTGAAAATATTAAATTTATGGAAAATGGCCTCCTTAGCGCTCTCACGGGTACAATACTTGCCAGATTTTTATAAAACTTATACTATAGGTTAATATCAGCAATATCTCGGACAAGTTCTATAATGGTGGACGAACAACTTTTTTTAAAAGAGTAATGCCCCTTGGAAATATTAAATTTATGGAAAATGGCCTCGTTAGCGCTCTCACATGTACAATTCTTGCCAGATTTTTATAAAACTAATACTGTAGGTTAATATCAGCAATATCTCGGACAAGTTCTATAATGGTGGACGATCGACTTTTTCAAAGAGTTATGCCCCTTGGAAATATTAAATTTATGGAAAATGGCCTCGTTTGCGCTCTCGCGGGTACAATTCTTGCCAGATGTTTATGAAACTTATACTATAGGTTAATATCAGCACTATATCGGAAAAGTTCTATAATGGTGGACGATTTTTTTAAAGAGTTATGCCCCTTGGAAATATAAGATATGTGCAACGCGGGGGACATTGCAACTCTGTTCTTTTATTAATATTTGTTAACTGAAGTATCATAAACGTAATAGATATGTAAAGCTACTGATGGGAACTATTTTTTTTTATAGAAACAGGGCCCAAATGTGGATCAACCGTTTGTCATCCGGATGCAAAATGTCACAGAGGTCGATGTGTATGCAGAAAAGGGTTTGTCGGAGACGGTGTAAATAGCTGCACAGGTATAATGTCTATTATTTTATATGTTTAGTAGAATAGATAGTCAAGGGAATGTACGACACATAATTGTGCATCGGAACGAACCAAGCGATCGTGATATTTGAGTGCTTGACTATTCAATCTTCTTTGTCGCGTTTACTGTTAATAAAGTTGTGAACTATATATAAATATAACATTTTTATTGTAACAAAAATAGAAATAAAAGATGAAGGGTATACATCAATCTTTTTAATATTCAAGTTACAGTAATGGTGAGTTTCTTTCCGTAATGTTATACTAAATATATTTTTCTTGACACAGTTCTTTTTCATTCTTAAAGCGTTTGAAGCAAGACAAACAAAAGCTTTGCATCCCAAACATTCAATTACAATATGTACGTCGTTTTTGAGAGTAACGGATTTTAGAGAAATAAAAAAAAAGGTTGCACTTCTGTTAACATAGAAACGTCAATTCCAATACAGTTTCACCAGAAACTAATTATTAATGAATTAACTTGTTTTGTGTTTATGGTATAAAAGGTAATGGAATAATTGACAATTTTTTTTTACTTATTGTATTTGACTACAGGGACCTGTACCTGTGTTGCTAGTGGAGATCCACATTATAAGAGTTTTGATGGACAAGTCATTCACTTTATGGGAATATGTACTTATACCATGGTCAAATCAACATCCATTGACAAATGTGGTGGTTTTGAAGTTCAAGTGCAGAATGAACACCGTGGAGCAAACACAAAAGTCTCGTATACACAATATGTTTTGGTCAAGTTAGCCGATGCTACAATTCGGCTAGATAAAAATAACGTCGTTTTTGTAAGTAACGGATTTTAGAGAAATAAAAAAAAAAGGTTGCACTTCTGTTAACATAGAAACGTCAATTCCAATAGGTACTCCTTTTACGTATAAAATGTGCCATTTTTGTTATGAAATTTCGCTAACAAAAAATCCTATCCTAGAATGGAAAGTTCATATGCACAACTATTTTTTGAGAAGTCAAAACATAGGGTTGTGCGGCATATTTTTAACATTTATATTCCTTGAATTACTAAGAGTTTTAACTTATACTAAAATTCTGTACTACCCTTCATTTTTATTTGAGACTTCATGAAAGAACAATTTGTCCGCTTTCGAACCGTATATATGTATACTGGTAAAATGTCCAAGTTGTGTCTCTATGAGATGAAACATGAAGATCATATCTTGGAAACAGTAGGTAAACAAAACAAAATATCTATGGATATCGTGAATCAGCTTTTGTTACAAAGAGCAACCTAAATTAACGAAACAAGATCAAATTGTTCATATCAGTCACCTTCTATATATATTCGATCATACAAATTTAAAGTTTTGTTATTCAGGCATATACCATGTAGTCAAATCATAGTATTTCAGGACGGTCAAAACAATAAAAATAAAAGTTGATCTGTGTTTTGTGATATATGACATTGTTTAAAAACTTCAGAAGAATATGGAATACAAAGTTATCCCAAATTTTAAGGGTAGAACTCCTATACTATCAAAATTGAAAACTTTTAAGGGAAGAACCTCTAAACTATCAAAAATTCCCAAACTCTTAGTCCATGAAATTGTATTTAATTTTTACAACAAAATAGTCAAACGATACTTGTGTGACAAATAGATAGACATGTACAATACCAAATATTCTGTCAAATTCGAAAATAAAAAGTGCTATACTCTATATACTAATATAAAAAAGACGTGATATGATGACCAATGAGAGACAAATCCCAACAGTGATCAAATGTTAGGACGATAAAATACGGTAATTAATGTTGAAGAGATAAAATAATAATCTACGATTTATTCACTTTAAAACAACTGCTAGAAGCATCATCGTGCTGATATACATATTTATAATTTTAAAATACAACTTTCTAATAAATAAATAGCAACCAATATCTTATTCTGCTGTGGTGACTGTCATACAAGTGAGAGGTTAAGCTAGCTTTAAAACCAGGTTTAATACATTTTTGTCTGCATATGAAAATGTCTGTACCAAGTCAGGAACATGACAATTGTTTTCCACTCGTTTGATTTGTTTGAGCTTTTGATTTTGCAATTAAATAAAGGACTTTCCGTTTTGAAAAATCCTTGGAGTTCGGTTTTTTTGTTATTTTACGTTTTCGTAAGCAATACGTTTATAAACGTTTTCAATTTATGAAAAATACAGAAAATCAGCTAATGGTCAATGTTTTAGGCGCGGTATCATGGTTTTTTTCTTCTGTTGCTAAATGCTTCTTTCGTTTTTATTTTTATGCCTACAAATATATACATGTGTATTGTGTTAGTCTTTCGATAACCATATGTTTATAATGTTATAATGTTTCTATCTATCATTAGGTAAATGACGTTCAAGTTTATACTCCATACTCTTGTACAAACTTTGAAATTACGACTTCTGGTAGATATGTACGGCTGCAAACAAAATGTAACATATTGATAACATGGAATGGTGTCGGTACTGTGGCAGTATCCGTTCCAAAGACGTATTCGGGAGTTGTAACTGGTCTCTGTGGTGATTGCAACGGGAAGAAAGACGATTTCAGAACATCAACTGGTGAGGATGTTCGTCTGAAGAAAGACAAATTCGAACTGATTGGAAAAAGTTATACAGTACCAGGAATTTATGAAACACAGGATAACAAGTAAGCCAATGCAAAAGTAATATTTTCATTTTTGCAAAGTTTCCCGCACTAGTGTGAAGGTGAAAAGTTAATGCAGCTTATGCAGTTTTGTAAAAGCTCTGTTTTAAGTTATAATGTTGTCAATTTACTATTAAGATAAAAATGTACAAAGAAAACATACTGTCTAGGCTAAAGTGTAGTAACAATTTTTATATTCGAACTTCTACATGTACCATTTTGATAAGTGTCCATGTGGTTCTAGTTAAAAAAGGGTTTAAATTGGCTTGAATTCATTAAAAAATATTGTAAGCAAACTGAGTGAAACAGATTATGCGTCCTTTTGTAACATGTTATTTGATTTAATTGGATATACTCTGTAATAAATACACTGATTGAATAGGTAGTAAACAAAAAATGTGTATTGCCGTTCCGTACTAGTCATAGACAGAGAAATAAACAAAGATAATTTTAATTTCATGGTTCACCAAGCAAACAATATAACTTTCCTACATGCTTTACACTTTCGAATAGATAAGCTAACGTTGCTCGATAGTAGTGTGTCATATTATCACAAGCTAAACATATCTGTTTAATGCTTATGTTACTTCAGAAAAAGTTCAACCTAGAAAGAGAAGGCATTGCGATATCTTTCTCTTTATTTTCGGCGGTTCGTTATGGTTGAACACATCATTTTATCGTTTGAATATGTTTTTACTGTTTTGCTAATAGTATTAACGAAATTAATTATTTGTTATTAATGTGTATGTTTCTGATTGTTACGGAGAAGACATTACTAAGTTGTGTCTGATCAATTTGTCATTTTGAACAATAAAATATGTTTAAACTTAAACAAAATGATCTTTAAAGTTTTTAGAATAAACTGATATTGCAGGTGCGTTGTTGGTCCTGTAATAGAAGAACCATGTTCTGCAGAACAGTCCAGTAAAGCTGCTGACGACAAATACTGTGGTTTCTTGAATCCAAAAAATGTCAAAAGTCCATTCATGTCTTGTGCGAACAAAGATATGGATATGGCCAAGGATTTATATGAGTCCTGTTTATATGATTACTGTAGTCTAGCAGGATCACCGGAGCTCGAACAGTTTATTTGTGAATCTTTGGAGGGATACGAAGAACAATGCGAAAACATGGGATTATCAATAACTTGGCGGAGAAAAGATTTTTGTCGTATGTATACAAACTCACAAATATTTTAATACTATTTTCGTGCCACCATCTCATTTTACAAATTACTACATATTTTCGTGAGACGACATGAGGAAATCAGTTTTAATGACATTAAAAACGTACAGAAAAATGCATTATCTTCAGGTTGGGAATTTCTGGAATGCAGATAACGTAAAAGTAGAATCTAAAAGGAATCCGAAGCATCCCTGTGATCAAAATACTAAAACCAAAAAATGTTTTGCATTTTATACACCTTTCCAGAAGACCTTTCAGTTAATGCTTAGTGCATATGAGTACAAATTTACCAAAATAAAAAGTATAAGTTGTATTAATCAATAGTATTCAAGTTGTTTAATGCAATGATGCTTTTATATCAATTGAAGAGGGAGTTGTGGTGTAAATTGTTTTTTTCTCATTATTATTTGCTACCCAATTTTGTTTTTTGAAGGGAAGTGAAAAAAAAAATTTATTTATTTCTATTGAAAATTTGTTACTTATTTAAACGCCGATATAAACTGTAAAAAAAACTGTGACAAGCAGTCTGCAACATACTTATGATAATATTGTTTTCTTGGTTCTGAAGACCCGAACCTCGATAGAAAGATAACATCTCATTCGAAAACGATAAAATAATCATTTTCCTTTTTTAGAACTCACATGTCCAGAGAACATGGACTATACTACTTCTGGGAGTGGATGTCCAGCAACTTGTTTGGACCCAGATGCTCCACTAACATGCAGATTACCAAATACTGAAGGCTGTCAATGTAAAGAAGGATTTCTCTTAAGTGGAAATGAATGTGTACCCAAAGCAAAATGTGGATGCCGTGGACCAGAGGGAGAATACTATCCCGTATGTACATTTATACATATTTTGTCGAAGCTGTCTCACAGTAGTATACTCAACATTTTGTTTAATTCATATATGTAAATGCAGTGAAAAAGTTCACTTTTGCAAATTGCAATTTGGTTTCAATTAAAATGACATGTAATTTTTGGCACTAAAAGATAAGAAGCTGATATTCCTTCCATTCAATCATATTTTCTTGTTGTCAACTTTCATAAATTATCATTTTTGTTAGCTTGGAAAGCAACTTACTTCATCAGACTGCACTATTGTAACCAAGTGTTCTAGTGAAAACGGGAAACCAACAATGACAGTTGTTAAACAACAAATTTGTCATCAAAATGCTAAATGTCGTCTCAGAAGAGGTCAATATAGATGTATCTGTAAACAGAAGTTCAAGGGAAATGGTGTGGATGTATGCACTCGTAAGTATATTCACATTTTTAAGCTCACATTTTTTAAGGGGCCAGCTGAAGCCTGCCTCCGGATGTAGGATTTTCCCGCTGTGTTGAAGACCCATTGGTGCCCTTCGGCTGTTTTTTTGTTCTTTGATCGGGTTGTTGTCTCTTTGACACATTCCCCGTTTCCATTCTCAATTTTATATTAACTTTTAATATAGTGATTTTGTCCTGTACTTATGTCATAATAAAGGGTATAGTTTTGACAATACCTTCATGTAAATGTTTTTGTAATTGCCCTAGAATTTAAATTCAAACTTACTCGTATAAGGTAGATTGTTGACCTTAGACGGGTTTGACTGTTTTGTATTGAACTATTATTCTACTTTTTCAGGCAAAGTTGACTTTGGAAGCATTTGTCTATTCTTTTAGATCCAATTTGGTCTCATAGCTTCTAATGGTTCGACGTATTTATACAGTTATTGTTTGTAAAAAATAAGTGTGATCGTTCATGATGACGATTAATCCTTAAACGCGCTTTGGACGCACAAAATGTATCAAAAGTTAATTCCTTTTGCCGGTATGTCACATTACAGTGAAAACAGTTTTAAAGTAGCTTTTTTTAAGTCTTTCGTAACAAATATTCGATATACCCGAGCCTTATTGAAGTTGGTCAATAATTGATAAAGTAAAGTAAACACAACAGAAATAAAACAATCTACTTATTATTTTTACGGATTTAATTGATGTGTTAACTTAGCCGAAGGACTGTCTGATGTTTTTACACATACAAAATAAAATCGTGAAATATACCATAGTACCTATTTTCACGTAAAATGCATGGAAACTATTACCAGATCAAATTTTTCATTAAAAATTACAGAACTATTTTGCCTGTGTAATAATTACTACTCGGGGAAATCATGAATTCAGACAATAGTAGTTGTTAACTGTTGATCAAAATAGAATGAGACAAATCAAGGAAGTAAACCAACTTGGGGATTCGCATAAACTTCAAAAGGACTGAGACTGGTTAGTTGACAGGGAATTACAGGGAATTACCAAATTGGAGCTGTAGTGTCATTATATAAGTTTTATTGTAAAATCAATTATTAATCGGAAATTTATGTGTCATAAGCATAGTGAAGTTGTTTCTACAAAATTAGTACAAGAGATTGTAAGTAACATGGATTTTCCAAATCAATCAACCAAGTCGTGATAGCTTCTTACTTCAACTTAATTACAAATGTATCTTGACTTAGTTGCATCATTGTTTCTATTGAAGTTAGTTTATTTATAGCATTAGTAAGAGCTGGTAAATCTGATTAGCTCAGAAATGTATACCACAATCTTGAATCTTGGAATATCTTATCACTTGTTAACTCCATAACAAGGGGATCCGGGAATGTTGCTACATATATATTGACACTTTTAGAGTATATGTTGGAAAGTTGAAATTATGTGAATGAAGAACTTCATTTATCTATGTTATTAATATGCATTTTTTTGCAAGTTAAATCATCCACTTTTGAGTCTTTATGTTCTATCACTTTTTTTCCGGTCCTCTTTTTTCTTGTTTTTCTTACAAAACTTTTTGTATGGGTTTTCAAATACCGTTTTTGAAGTATGCTTTTGACATATTTCTTCGCTTATCAAAATGTAGAAAAATATTTTGTGATCAATAAACACTTGCAATCCTATTTTGTTTGTAGACAAATGTAATCGAAAGTGTAAAATCAATGAAAGGTGTGTCAAAGGAAAATGTAGATGCGAGAAAGGTTTAGTCAGAACAAAACTAGGAGCATGCACGAGTAAGTATCTCAATCTCTGATTAATGTAACAAGCTTTATTATCTTAGTATATTTAAAAATAAATGGAGAATGTGTACATGGGATACAGATGATGCCCCCGCTTGCATATAACGTTATAAAAGGGCATAACTCGAGAACGGTAAAATTGACGCCAACCAAATTCGAACTTGATCTGTATTTTGTAGTAATAAGCATTATGTATAAGTTTCATAACATTTGGTTAAGACAAACTAATGTGCGAGAACGGAAATCATTTTTGGACGTTCATAAGGACCTATGGACAACAAAGGAACAACAGGAACACTGAAGTGCAACAAAAACAAACGCCAACATACATAGAAACGAACTATTTGATAACAACTGCCATATTCCTGACTTGGTACAGGACATGGAATCTTGTCCTGACTTAAGTTGTAAACCACGGGAATCATTCAGAAAAAAAAATAACTTATTGTATGAAACACAACTTTTATTATTTTTTTTTTCTTTTTGGTTTTCGTGTTTGCAGCCTGTGAACGAAAGTGTAAAGTCAAGTGTAAAATAAAATCCATATCATTTTTCTGAAATATAAAAACACGATTGATATTATCATTCAAAGTCGGAGACATCAATAGAGTTTCTTACAACTATCTTAATAAGATATATTTCCTTCATTGAGGAATTGCCATATTTTTTGTTTTTTTTTTAATTATCGATTTTGTTTTCAGTAAAGATACCATGTAAGCCAAAGTGTAAGAAAGGGTTTGTTTGTAGTCTCCTTGGAAAATGCAGACCAAAAGGTATTTACAATTAATGATTGAAAGTGACATACAAAAAATAAGAATGTGGTTAAGTCGTAGAAAAGAAACCAGGATACGTTGAACAGAAACATGTTAAAAGATACATTTTTGTTTTAACTGTTTTGCATTTCATGATTTGAAATAACAGTATGACCTGCAATTACATAATTCAAAAATACCATATTTTAAAAATTGGCAAACGTTTCATGATTGCATATTATAGAACTATCCATAGACCGAAGGACAAAGATTAATTTGAAAGTAGAGCACTTTTTATACTATTTGTTTGTATTTACCCTTAATTAGGAGAGGGTGATATTCCATATGTTTTATGCTAGAATATATTAGAATTATCATTAGCTCTTCATAAAAAGTCAGATTTAATTTTTGTACATCAGTTAACATATGTATATTGATTCTTGCATTGGTACCAGTGGATTATCGGATTTATCCAATCGAGATAGTTAAATTATCGAATTTTAAAGTCCGACCCTCGGCGAGTACTTTAAAATTGAAAATTTAAATATCGAGATTGGATAAATCTGATAATCCACGAGTAACTATGTAAGAATCAATATACATCTGTTTACTGAAGTACAAAAATTAAATCTGTTTTTCCAAGGATTATCAAATACATTTTCATTGATGATAAACGTGCCATCCACATTCCTCATTTATATGGAAACTTTTTATGGTTTTAGTGCTTAATTGTAGGTTGTAAACGAAAATGTAAGATCAATGAAAGATGTTTTAGAGGAAAATGTAGATGCAACAAAGGTTTAGTCAGGACAAAACTAGGAGCATGTAAGAGTAAGTGTCTCAACCACAAACTACTGTAAAAAGATATATATAAACTTAAGTTGTTTGAAACAAATTGTGAACAGTGTTCCCTTATTCCATCATGTACAATAATATTCAATTGACAGCTGAAAAAATAATGAAATGAAATAAAAAAAGAGGAAATGTAATACCGGTTTCTCACAAGTATCTGAAAAATATATTCCCCCGTCGCCCTCGAAAATGCCCGTACCAAGTCAGGAATATGAAAGTTGTTATCAATTCGTTTGATGTGCTTGAGCTTTTGATTTTGCTTTTTGATTAGGGACTTTCCGTTTTGAATTTTCCTCTGAGTTCGGTATTTTTGTTATTTTACTTTTGTTACATCATTGCTGTATATTTTTAAACTTTTTTTATATTTTCAGCAAAGATACCATGCGAGCCAAAATGTAAGAGTGGATTTGTTTGTAGTTTCCGAGGAAAATGCAGACCACAAGGTAATTTTAAATTTCGATACTCCAAGTGACATTTAAAAGGATGATTTCAACTAAATCGTGGAAAAGACAAGGTAAGTTGGCCAGAATCATGTTGAAGAAATGTTCTGTTTTGACTGTTAGTATCTGTTCTGAAAGAAGGCCTGCGACGACAAACATCAAATACAGTACACTGAAGCTATACATTAAAAAAAGATGTCGTGGTATGATGTCCTATGAAAACTCGCACTTTTAAACCAGGTTTAATCCACAATTTTCTACATAAGAAAATGCCTGTACCAAGTCAGGAATATGACAGTTGTTATCCTTTCGTTTGATGTGTTTCAGCTTTTGATTTTGCCATTTGATTAGGAACTTTCCTTTTTTAAATTTCCTCGGAGTTCAGTATTTTTGTGATTTTAGTTTTTAGTGATTTTTTTAATAAGTCGAGGATGATGGCACTTATGTTGACTTGAATATATCAAACTTACTATTGGCTTTAAGTGTTACATTTAAATGTTCTGTGTGTACCTATGTTCACGTTATTCGTCTTTGTAGATGTTGCCTGCCACATTGTGACGAATAATTGTGTACCTATTTCGTTCAAAATGTTGTTTTATAGGCAATTATATATATGCTACATATACATTGTTAACAAAACATTTTCTTTCCATACACACTTTATATGAATAACAGACAAATGTAGTAGATATAATACATCAAATATATACTGATATTTCAGCTACGGGCTGATATTTAGATAAAAAGCATAATTTTTAGGAAGATATACGTTTAATGTATAGCATTTATATCTATTGTCATAAAAATTTACAATATCAAATAAGATTAGCAGACTTAGCAAATTAAGATAAAACTAAGAAGATGTTGTATAATTGCCAATGTGACAACTCCCCACCAGAGACCAAATAACATAGAGGTCAACGACTGTTATAAGTCATTGTACGGCCTTCAACAATGAGCAAAACCCATACCGCATAGTAAGCTAATAAAAGGCTGAACTGAGAAACTGAGAAATGTAAAACAATTCCAACGAAAAAGCTAACGGTATGATATAAATACAAAAAGTACATTAAGTCTTTATATTTGAATAAAGTAATATTACTTTTCAGTTGACAATTGTTTAATGCTTATTTTGTTTCAAGTAGATATTGTGTTCCAGACAATCTTGGCGATTTAAAGATAACTCTGGTTAATTATATAGTCCTTTTCAAAAACGTTCAAATGCTTAATGTAGGTATCATTCATAATTTCTTACTTAGATATTTTACCTAAATTTGAATTTTTCTGGTAGAAAGTGGTGGTTGTGGTGTTTTGTTTATATGTATATGTGTGTTTGTTGGGTTTTTCAAAACATACAGGTACATCTCTTTGGGAATCAGGTTAAGGAAATACATCAAGACCATCTGTCTGTTTCATTTGAATTCTGACACTGTTATATACACAAACTATTAAAAAAGAGATGTATGCTTTTACAAGTAGCAGAATCAATGCTGCTGGAAATTCGGGGAAACGGACAACAACTTAAGGCAGTTTATTCCTGACAAATAAAATGACTACAGATAAATGTTACATGATTATTACCCCTAAATTATTTCCATCAAATTATAAGTTAACAGAACACTCAATATTTAATTATTTACCAATCTACGGCATTAAGAATTAACAATCTCAAGATTGGTTTGTAGCAGATGCACTACTTAGGTTTGAGTAGGTCGAATATTATTAGTCAATTTAACAAAAATACATTTTTTTTTCAACTATGAAGGGTTCTGTTTAACGATTTATAATATTTTTAAACGCTTCAAACTAAATAGATGAATTTATCCATATAAATAAATGTCTTTTATAAACGAATTATAGATACTAGAATTTATGATATTTAAAAAGTAAAATAATGAACCTGTTCAAAAGAGAAAATAATTTCTTCGATTCGTCAGACATGTTTGAATTGGAACATAGTACAAAGGGATGTCACTCTTGCATACCAATGACACATCATAGAACTAATTAACACTGCATTCAAGTTCCAGCTTCTATCAAGATTCTAAATTATCAATATAACCAACAGTCGTTTATCAGTAGGATGATGGCTGCTAACAAATGCTTAACCACAGTAAAGTATATTAGTTTGTTTTTTTGCGGTGAAATTTGTTCAAACCTATTCAGACAAATGCAGAAATTACATTATATTCATAGCTCATAATTAACGTACATTCTATAAATATTATATGTCTGTAACTGTCTAAAAACAATACTTAAACCATTGTCGTGACGTCAGCCTATTAATTTACCGTGGATTCTTTTTCTAGAATCAACGCTTTCTAAAACTGTCGCTGAAAATGAGCTCACCAAATTATATTCAATTGTTTCTTTTGTGTGCCTAATTTCATTAAGTTTGAATTGACTTATTTACTGATTTCTGCTCACTAATAGAATTAATTTAAAAACTTACATTTAACTTTTGTAATTTTTATATGCCTTCACTGGGAATCGAACTCCTCCTTGAAATCTGTTATGTGTGACAGGCATCAACACATCGACGAAACCTCTTGGCTACTAATGGATTCCAATTTCGATGTCTATTATATATATATAAATGAACATATATTCATCAATTATATCAGTTTAAATTGCTTGGTTCTGTTCATTTTGGAGGGTTGTAAAAGTACCCAGTCACGTTCAACTATTTAACCTTAGTCGAAATTTATTATTATATTTTTTAAACTGCCATTTATTTGGGATGTTTAAATACGCAGCCTCTGTTGTAATTACTCTACCGTTGTCAAATTTGAAATATTTACAAACTTGGATCGGTCAGTGCTGTTTATTGACGCAATCGTTCTTATAACATCGTAACTGTCGTCACCTTTTAAATTTTAGAATTGTGCCAGTTCATATCGCACATTACTATTTTTATTTGAAGCATATCTATGCATTCTCTGTTGTAAATAGCTATATAACCTATGTCATGTTTAAAAATTTTAGAATTGTACAAGCGTCTAAACTATGATGTTTGGTTTAACTGTTTTATTGTATAAATTTCAAGATTGTTATAGTTTAATCAAAGTAGATTGATATGATTCATTTAACATCATAATCATACTGATGAAGGATATCTGTTATCCGAAATATTTATAAATAATTACATTTATAGTTTCCTTTTTTTGTTATTGGTGTTGTTTTTTACACTTTTTAGGCGTTTATAAATGAACATATGATACACATAGGTACAACAAACACATAGGGGTTGTACCTTATATATATACATAATAGGCAATCGTATAGTATAAGTTGGTAGCCGAGAGGTTAACATGGTTATGATCAATAAGTCAAGTTAAAGGTAGAGACTTGTCGGTTTAGGTTCGAATCCCTGTATTGTCCTTGTTGTCCTTCTTCTTTAGTTTTTCCGTTTTTCTTTTTTTGTATGTTATTGTGGATGTTTTTGTAATGATAGCGGGTTATCCGTTTATTTTGGGATTATTTTTGGCTATTTCACATATTTGAAAGAAAACGATTACATTTAATTTGTCCATTTTTGTTTTATAAATGTGGTATGATTTCATCTGTTTTACTACATATCTTTACAAATGTTTATTTGCAAATCCCTATGCGAGTAAATCGTGATGTGCCTAGAAATAGGCTTCTTGCTAGTAATTTCGGTAACATAGTTACGTATTATATATTACTTAGAAATAAGTTCGAATATGTCTTCTTTTAAAAATTACAGATAATATTCAGATGCCTTATAATTTAAAGACAGACGTATTATGTTATATAGATATAGGAAGATGTGGTATGAGTGCCAATGAGACAACTCTCCATCCAAGTAACAATTCATAAAAGTAAACCATTATAGGTCAAGGTACGGCATTCAACACAGAGCCTTGGCTCACACCGAACAGCAAGCTATAAAGGGCCCCAAAAATTACTAGTGTAAAACCATTCAAACGGTCTAATCTATATAAAAACGAGAAACGAGAAACACGTATGAACTACATAAACAGACAACAACTACTGTACATCAGATTCCTGACTTAGGACAGGTGCAAATATTTGCAGCGGGATTAAACGTTTTAATGGTACCAAACCTTCTCCCTTTTCTGAAACAATAGTATAACATCACAAAATAGAAAGACACACTATAAAATATCAATTGGCAGGCTTAACTCAATAAAAAAAACGCAAATTAACACACAATGAACGAATAAATTTGATCTGTGATACCTGTATGCAAATACATAGTTAATAAAAATTATAAGGGATAAAATAATTAAGATCAAAAGTTAATAAACAGGTTTAAACAAAGTTAAAGTATGATACCAATGTGAAATGTTAAACAATTTTTAGAAAATCATCACTTTTGAAAAACCTGCGTCATATTATACACAGGTAAATGAAAATAATTTTGTTGTTAAGTATACTTCTTCTTCTGTGTGTATAAAATCTTCCGTTTAGGAATATCAAGAAATTTCTTTAATATCAATAAAACTAATCTAACACCTGGTACATATGGGGTGAATATCAACAATAAAACTATACTATTAGTGCTAGATAAAACTTAATATAGTTGTATTTCTCTAACCAATTAATTGTGCACTTAGATTTATTAATGCATCGTTGAACATAATGACATGGTTATTTAAACTCACTTACAATACCTTTTAATTGAGAATAGGCTTTAATTTTGAAAAGGCATCAACACAATAGTTTAAGTTAGAGATACAATGGATAAGCTCATGGTTTCTTTTTCAAGAATCAACGCTTATTCATTGTATCTATATAACAGATAGTATCCTTGCATTAACTTTGCAAGTTTATTAAATATTTTCACAACTGCCGGTTAAGATTTGACTTAGTACCCTTATCCCACTATCGTCAGCTAGACTCGCTATATTATATTTTGTTTGTGTTTGTTGTTTTTGCAGGATGTAAACGAAAGTGTAGGATCAATGAAAGGTGTGTTAAAGGACAATGCAGATGCAAGAAAGGTTCCTATAGGATAAAACTAGGAGCATGTAAAAGTAAGTGTCTCAACAACAAATAAATGCCAAAAGTTATGTTAACTTAGTTGCTTGGAATATTTTGGACCTACATATTCAAAATTTAATATATTGAATTTAAAATTTGACCGGAAATTATAACGACATGAAATACAAACATAATTGGAAATGTTAAAAAACTTTCTAACAAGTATCATCTTAATGTAGTTTCCTCTGCTGCGTTGTTGCTATGTTTTTGAATATTTAAAAACTCAATGAATATTTTTCAGCAAAGATACCATGCAAACCAAAATGTAAGAGTGGATTTGTTTGTAGTTTCCGCGGAAAATGCAGACCAAAGGGTATTTTTACTTTTGTTACTGAAAGAGACATTCAAACTGTTTCAATTGAATTGTTATTAATATAAATTGGACAGAATCATGTTCAAGAAATACTTTTTTAAACTAGTGGCAATTATTCTTTATTAAAAGGGCATTTTCGCCTTCAACCACATTCATCAACTATACTATACATAAAACAAAATAAGGAGTCGTATTATGACAATGCAAACTTTTCATAGACCTGCAGACAAAGATGTACATGTATGTATTACGTTTACTGTACTTTTGATATAACATTCAGAATTTTCTGTGTGTACTTTAGTTTACGTCATTTGTCTTTACAGATGTTGACTGCCAAATTGCGACGAACCTGTTTCTTTCAAATTCATGTCCTATAGGCAATGACACCTACTTCTATAAAAATAAGAAGATGTAGTATAATTGAAATGAGACAACTCTCCACCAGAGACCAAATGACATAGAAGTAACTAACTGTTATCAAAACATATTATTTCTATATACACTTGATATGATTACAGATATGTATTCGGAATGAGACATCAAATATATGACATCTCATCTACAGGTTGATATTCAGATACAAATCAACCTTTTTAAGGCAGATAAACGGTAATTCCATATTTTCTATGATTATTGTGTTTTTAGGATGTAAACAAAAGTGTAGGATCAATGAAAGGTGTGTTAAAGGAAAATGTAGATGCAAGAAAGGTTCCTTCAGGACAAAACTAGGAGCATGTAAGAGTAAGTGTCTTAACTATAAACTAATGTTAAAGATGTATCATCATTTTTTGTTTGATAAAACATGTGAACTACGTTCCTTTATTCCACCATATACAAAAGCATCGTTCGACAAGTGAAAATATAACGACATGATATAAAAAAAAGGAAATAGTATACAAATTTCTAACAAGTATCAGAAAAATAAATTGCCTGTAGCTTAGTTGTTGCTATATTATTGAATATTTTAAAACACAATTAATATTTTTCAGCAAAGGTACCATGCAAACCAAAATGTGAGAGTGGATTTGTTTGTAGTTTCCTCGGAAAATGCAGACCAAAAGGTATATTCACTTTTGATAATGAAAGAGACATTATCCAGGGTTTCAATTAAATTGTTATTCATATAAATTGGACAGAATGATGTTCAAGAAATACATTTTTTAACTGGTGGCAATTGATATTTAAAAAAAAGCAGCATTTTGGCCTTCAACCACGTTCATCGACCATACTATATATAAATCGAAAAAGGGAGTCATGTTATGATGAATAATGCCAACTGTCCATAGACCAGCAGACAAAGATGTATATGTATGTTTTACGTTTAAAGTACGTTGAAAAAATTCAATAGACACCAGAATGATGGTCCTGATGTATTTCACCTAGATATAAAAACCTTCCATTACATTTTAATGTGTTGAGTTCCACATTGTGACGTGTCAATGTGTATCTGTTTCTTTTCGAAAGTTGTTTTATTTTCTAAAATATATGCTACATATCTGTATCAATAAATAATTCTTTCCATTTGTACTTTATGGAATAACTGATATATTCGAAATGAAACACCAAATGTATTATGACATATCATCCACGGACGGATATTAGGATAAAAAGCTACATTTTGTAGGAAGTTTAACAATTAATATGTATTTTCAATGATTATTGTGTTGGCAGGATGTAAACGAAAGTGTAGAGTCAATGAAAGGTGTGTTAAAGGAAAATGCAGATGCAAGAAAGGTTCCTTCAGGACAAAACTAGGAGCATGTAAGAGTAAGTGTCTCAACCTCAAATTAATGTAAAAAGTTATGTAAACTTAGTTGTTTGAAAACATTGTGATCTATAATTCCCGTATCCATTATATTCAATAATATCATTTGACCGCTGAAAATATAACGACATGATTTCAAAACAAAAGAGGAAATTTAAAAAAATAATCTTACAAGTATCATATTTATATATTTTCCTCGGCTTTGTTGTAGCTATATATTTGAAGACTTAAAAACTTAATTGATATTTTCAGCAAAGATTCCATGCAAACCAAAATGTAAGAGTGGATTTGTTTGTAGTTTCCGCGGAAAATGCAGACCAAAAGGTATTTTTACTTTTGTTACTGAAAGAGACATTCAAACTGTTTCAATTAAATTGTTCTTAATATAAATTGGACAGAAACATTTTCAAGAAGTTCATGTTTAAACTAGTGGCAATTATTCTTTATTAAAAGGGCATTTTCGCCTTCAACCACATTCATCAACTATACTATACATAAAACAAAATAAGGAGTAGTTTTATGACAATGCAAACTTTCCATAGACTAGCGGACAAAGATGTACATGTATGTATTACGTTTAAAGTACGTTGACAAAATTCAATAGACACCAGAATGATGGTCCTGATGTATTTCACCTAGATATAAAAACCTACCATTACATTTTAATGTGTTGAGTTCCACATTGTGACGTGTCAATGTGTATCTGTTTCTTTTCGAAAGTTGTTTTATTTTCTAAAATTTATGCTACATATCTGTATCAATAAATAATTCTTTCCATTTGTACTTTATGGAATAACTGATATATTCGAAATGAAACACCAAATGTATTATGACATATCATCCACGGACGGATATTAGGATAAAAAGCTACATTTTGTAGGAAGTTTAACAATTAATATGTATTTTCAATGATTATTGTGTTGGCAGGATGTAAACGAAAGTGTAGAGTCAATGAAAGGTGTGTTAAAGGAAAATGCAGATGCAAGAAAGGTTCCTTCAGGACAAAACTAGGAGCATGTAAGAGTAAGTGTCTCAACCTCAAATTAATGTAAAAAGTTATGTAAACTTAGTTGTTTGAAAACATTGTGATCTATAATTCCCGTATCCATTATATTCAATAATATCATTTGACCGCTGAAAATATAACGACATGATTTCAAAACAAAAGAGGAAATTTAAAAAAATAATCTTACAAGTATCATATTTATATATTTTCCTCGGCTTTGTTGTAGCTATATATTTGAAGACTTAAAAACTTAATTGATATTTTCAGCAAAGATTCCATGCAAACCAAAATGTAAGAGTGGATTTGTTTGTAGTTTCCGCGGAAAATGCAGACCAAAAATATTTTTACTTTTGTTACTGAAAGAGACATTCAAACTGTTTCAATTAAATTGTTCTTAATATAAATTGGATAGAAACATTTTCAAGAAGTTCATGTTTAAACTAGTGGCAATTATTCTTTATTAAAAGGGCATTTTCGCCTTCAACCACATTCATCAACTATACTATACATAAAACAAAATAAGGAGTAGTTTTATGACAATGCAAACTTTCCATAGACTAGCGGACAAAGATGTACATGTATGTATTACGTTTAAAGTACGTTGAAAAAATTCAATAGACACCAGAATGATGGTCCTGATGTATTTCACCTAGATATAAAAACCTACCATTACATTTTAATGTGTTGAGTTCCACATTGTGACGTGTCAATGTGTATCTGTTTCTTTTCGAAAGTTGTTTTATTTTCTAAAATTTATGGTACATATCTGTATCAATAAATAATTCTTTCCATTTGTACTTTATGGAATAACTGATATATTCGAAATGAAACACCAAATGTATTATGACATATCATCCACGGACGGATATTAGGATAAAAAGCTACATTTTGTAGGAAGTTTAACAATTAATATGTATTTTCAATGATTATTGTGTTGGCAGGATGTAAACGAAAGTGTAGAGTCAATGAAAGGTGTGTTAAAGGAAAATGCAGATGCAAGAAAGGTTCCTTCAGGACAAAACTAGGAGCATGTAAGAGTAAGTGTCTCAACCTCAAATTAATGTAAAAAGTTATGTAAACTTAGTTGTTTGAAAACATTGTGATCTATAATTCCCGTATCCATTATATTCAATAATATCATTTGACCGCTGAAAATATAACGACATGATTTCAAAACAAAAGAGGAAATTTAAAAAAATAATCTTACAAGTATCATATTTATATATTTTCCTCTGCTTTGTTGTAGCTATATATTTGAAGACTTAAAAACTTAATTGATATTTTCAGCAAAGATTCCATGCAAACCAAAATGTAAGAGTGGATTTGTTTGTAGTTTCCTCGGAAAATGCAGACCAAAAGGTATTTTTACTTTTGTTACTGAAAGAGACATTCAAACTGTTTCAATTAAATTGTTCTTAATATAAATTGAATAGAAACATTTTCAAGAAGTTCATGTTTAAACTAGTGGCAATTATTCTTTATTAAAAGGGCATTTTCGCCTTCAACCACATTCATCAACTATACTATACATAAAACAAAATAAGGAGTAGTTTTATGACAATGCAAACTTTCCATAGACTAGCGGACAAAGATGTACATGTATGTATTACGTTTAAAGTACGTTGAAAAAATTCAATAGACACCAGAATGATGGTCCTGATGTATTTCACCTAGATATAAAAACCTACCATTACATTTAAATGTGTTGAGTTCCACATTGTGACGTGTCAATGTGTATCTGTTTCTTTTCGAAAGTTGTTTTATTTTCTAAAATTTATGGTACATATCTGTATCAATAAATAATTCTTTCCATTTGTACTTTATGGAATAACTGATATATTCGAAATGAAACACCAAATGTATTATGACATATCATCCACGGACGGATATTAGGATAAAACGCTACATTTTGTAGGAAGTTTAACAATTAATATGTATTTTCAATGATTATTGTGTTGGCAGGATGTCAACGAAAGTGTAGAGTCAATGAAAGGTGTGTTAAAGGAAAATGCAGATGCAAGAAAGGTTCCTTCAGGACAAAACTAGCAGCATGTAAGAGTAAGTGTCTCAACCTCAAATTAATGTAAAAAGTTATGTAAACTTAGTTGTTTGAAAACATTGTGATCTATAATTCCCGTATCCATTATATTCAATAATATCATTTGACCGCTGAAAATATAACGACATGATTTCAAAACAAAAGAGGAAATTTAAAAAAATAATCTTACAAGTATCATATTTATATATTTTCCTCTGCTTTGTTGTAGCTATATATTTGAAGACTTAAAAACTTAATTGATATTTTCAGCAAAGATTCCATGCAAACCAAAATGTAAGAGTGGATTTGTTTGTAGTTTCCGCGGAAAATGCAGACCAAAAGGTATTTTTACTTTTATTACTGAAAGAGACATTCAAACTGTTTCAATTAAATTGTTATTAATATAAATTGGACAGAATCATGTTCAAGAAATACATTTTTAAATTAGTGGCAATTATTCTCTATTAAAAGGGCATGTTCGCCAAAAACCACATTCATCAACTATACTATACATAAAAACAAATAAGGAGTCGTGTTAAGACAATGCAAAGTTTCCATAGACCAGCAGGCAAAGATGTAGGTGTAAGTATTACGTTTACAGTACCTTTGATAAAACATTCAGAATTTTCTGTTTGTACTTAAGTTTACGTCATTTGTCTTCACAGATGTTGACTGCTAATTTGCGACGAACCTGTTTCTTTCAAATTCATGTCCTATAGGCAATGACATATCCTACTATAAAAATAAGAAGATGTAGTATAATTGCAATGAGACAACTCTCCACCAGAGACCAAATGACATAGAAGTAACTAACTGTTATCAAAACATATTCTTTCTATATACACTTGATATGATTAGAGAAATGTATTCAGAATGATACATCAAATAGGTGACATCTCATCTACAGGCTGATATTCAGATACAAGTAAACCTTTTTAAGGAAGATTAGCCATTATTTCATATTTTCTATGATTATTGTTTTGTAGGATGTAAACAAAAGTGTAGGATCAATGAAAGGTGTGTTAAAGGAAAATGTAGATGCAAGAAAGGTTCCTTCAGGACAAAACTAGGAGCATGTAAGAGTAAGTGTCTTAACTATAAACTAGTGTTAAAGATGTATCATCATTGTTTGTTTGATATAACATATGAAGTACGTCCCTTTATTCCATCATATACAATAGCATCGTTCGACAAGTGAAAATATAACGACATGATATAAAAAAAAGGAAATAGTATACAAATTTCTAACAAGTATCAGAAAAATAAATTCCCTGTAGCTTAGTTGTTGCTATATTGTTGAATATTTCAAAACACAATTAATATTTTTCAGCAAAGATTCCATGCGAGCCAAAATGTGAGACGGGATTTGTTTGTAGTTTCCTCGGAAAATGCAGACCAAAAGGTAAATATACATTTCGTAACTAAAAGTGAATTTAAAAGTTTGAATTAACTATTAAAAAAAAGAAATCAATATAAATTGGACAGAATCAGGTCAAAAAATATTTTGTTTAAACTGTTAGCTATTATTCTTTAAAAAAAACAGTTATATAAAAAACAATCTATAAATATATATATGTGTGTACCTGTTTCTTTCAAATATGTTGTTATAAATGAGATATATCATTTTATTGCCATATACACTTTATTAATGTAAACCACAGATATATGTTTTCGATGTGATACATCAAAAAAATATTGAAATTTGATATATGGGCTGATATTCAAATTGACCTTTTGTTTTCTAATTTTTGTTGTGTTTTCAGGATGTAAACGAAAATGTAGGATCAATGAAAGATGTGTTAAAGGAAAATGCAGATGCAAGAAAGGTTCCGTCAGGACAAAACTAGGAGCATGTAAAAGTAGGTGTCTCAACCTCAAATTATTCAAAAAGCTATCTTAATTTAGTTGTTTAAAAATATTGTGATTTACATTTCTCAAATCCAATACGTTCAATAATATCATTTGACCGCTGAAAATATAACAACATGATATGCAAACATAATTGGAAATGTTAGTTTCTTACAAGTGTCTTATTAATGTAGTATCCTCTGCTTTGCTGTTGCTATATTTTTTTTAATATTCAAGAACTTTATTGTTACTTTTTAGCAAAGATTCCATGTACGCCAAAATGTCAGAGTGGATTTGTTTGTAGTTTCCTCGGAAAATGCAGACCAAAAGGTATATTTACAAAATTTTATTTAAAATTGACATTAAAAATGATGGTTTCAATCAAATCGTGGAAATGAAATCAAGATGATTTTGACAGAATCATGTTCAAGAAATAATTTGTTTCAATTGTTAGCATTGAATTTGGGCTTGTATCATGATTTCCTTGCATCTGTTTTTTTCTATAATAAAAACAAACGATAGCAAATTGAATTACGACCACATACATCAACAACAGACGTTAAATAAAAAAAAGAAATGCCTTGGTAAGATGACATATGATAACTTTCCATGGACCAAAGGACAGAGGTCTATATGTATTTACAGTTTTTTCTGTACGGTTTTTTTCTAAAGGTGCAAGGATGACGGCCTTTATGTTAACGACTGAGTATATTAAACTTAACATTGACTTTTAATATAACATTAATTTAATATTTTTCTATTTGTAACTTAGTTCACTTTATTCGTCTTTTTAGATGTTGACTACAACATTGTGACAAATTATTGTGTGCCTGTTTTTTTGGGTGCAAATGTTGTCATATAGACAATAATGTATGCTACATATTGTTATCAAACCATATACACTTTATATGTTAACAGACATATGTATTCAATATGAAACATAAAATATATAATGGCATTTAATCTACGTGCTAATATTAAGATAAAATGCAACGTTTTGTATAATGTTAAACGGTAATTATATGTTTTCTTCGTTAATTTGTTTTGTAGGATGTAAACGAAAGTGTAGGATCAATGAAAGATGTGTCAAGGGGAAATGCAGATGCAAGAAGGGTTCCTTCAGGACAAAACTAGGAACATGTAAAAGTAAGTGTCTCAACATGAGATTATTTGTAAAGGTTGTAATGTGATCGACATTTCCCTTACATCCTTAAGGTACAACAATATTATATTACCGCTGAATATTAAATGACATGATGCAATCCAAACAAAATTGGAACCTTTATAAAAGTTTCTTACAAGAATCGAACTAATACCAAACTAGAAGCATGGAAAAGTAAGTATTTGAAACCGAATTAAAGAAATACTTATACAAGCCATTTTATTTGCGCACAATAATGTTTTATCAAGCTACATTCCTCATGTGCCTGTCCTAAATCAGAGGACTTTAAATAATCTGTTCCTGGTTGTCATGTTTGGTTTTCGTTTATTGTTACGTATGAATATGGATTTCGCATTTAGTTTAGCTGGTGCCCTTTATAGCTTACTGTAAGATATAGGTTTTGCCCATTGCAATTGTTGAATGCGGTACGGTGACAAATAATTGCCTTTATCCATGTTCTTTGGTTGATAATTGTTTTCTTTGCAATCATACCTCATTTCCTATAATTTTACCATATTTAAATAAATTTATACATTTAGATATTTCTATAGATAATGTATTTACATAGCAGAATGTATTAGACCGCCGAACATGTTGCAGTAGGGAAAGCTGCCGCAAAACAACAAAAAAACATGATTTTCCACCGATAGTCTTTGTCTTTTTGTCTCAAGTCGTGTTTTGTTTTTGTTTGTTACTAATTATTAATTTCTGTTGCACCTACATCTTGTGAAATACAAATGATTTAAGATCCATCACGCAAGTCAATCATTTCATATTTTGCACACAAAAAAAACGTAATAAAAGAGAGGCGAAAGATACCAAAGCGATATTCAAAGTCATATGTCGAAAACGAACTTACATTGATATGGCGAAAAACGAAAAATAGTCTACCAAACATAATTTTTAAAACTAAGGACTAAGAAACAAGAAGCCTTCCAAAAACCGAGGGTGATCTCAGGTGCTCCGCAAGGGTAAGCATATCCTGCTCCACACATTGCACCCGTCGTGATGCTCTTGCAAGTATAAAGTTGCTTATTAGTCTAATTCGGTAAGTTACATTAGTTGAACATATGTGTAGATTTAAATTTATGTTGTTGCTTGCGTGACTTCTTAAATGCATCCGCACGCATAATCTATATTCCACAGTTTAGTTGGTAAGACTGTTCTGGTCTTTGCTGGTAAGTGGAAAGAAGCGGTATTTGTTTATGTAAGTTGATGTATGAACATTTCTGTATTGTTTTAGCCTTCTTGTCCTGGAATATGAATAGCTATATCATAAATTAATAATCAGTGGTTAAGTAAAACAATTTTTGTATTTGTGAAGAAGTGTTAAAGAGAGTACAAACATATTTTTTAATCAGAAATATTTTACTTTATATTTTATAGAATAACTTGTTTTACACGAACCGTTAATATGTAATTGTCAATTATTTATTTAACACAGAGCGATGCAATATTAATAGTTGTGGAGTGAACGCAGTCTGTGTCAAAAGGAAATATTGTCGATGTAAAAAGGGATATGCTGGTCATCCAAAAACATTATGTGAAGGTAAATAATTAATTGTCAGTGTGTCAGAATCGATTAGCATCGCAGATAATCAAATCGAAGCATGCATAAAATCTCAATGACACAACAGTCTGCAACACAAGCTAACCAATTCTAATGTTATTTTGCATGTTACGACAATTTTGATTCGAAGACGTCTTCACGTTCAGTTGGAGACCATAATGATAGAAAGAAGAAGATATGGTATGAGTGCCAATGAGACTACTCTCCATCCAAGTCACAGTGCGTAAAAAGTAAACCATTATAGGTCAAAGTACGGCCTTCAACACGGAGCCTTGGCTCACACCGAACAGCAAGCTATAAAGGGCCCCAACATGACTAGTGTAAAACAATTTAAACAGGGAAACCAAAGGTCTAATCTATATAAAAAAAACCGAGAAACGAGAAACACATATGAACCACATCAACAAACGCCAACCACTGAACAGCGAGGACAGGTGCATACAAATGCAGCGGGTGATGTTGACATTCAAATGCGTTTTTTCTGATTTTATTTTGTTGTTCTGTTGATCGGGAGCTGTTTTCTTTTAATCGTTCCTGTATCATCCTTTTGATAAGATTACGGTTTCTTTAAATATTATGTATGCCATGTCTTCTTAAATACTGTAAACTGGTAAACTAGCACTTTAAAGTCCGATGCATCGTGCAGGTCAAGTACAAAGCAATGTTTATATTCATATCGCATTAACATGTTCTTGTTCTTGTTCTGATATGTATGTAATGATTTTCATTGGACTTTAATCCTCAATCCGGCACCATCATATGTTGTTACAACATAAATTACATTTTTTTTACCGACAAACAATTAGCAAATCTTGTTTTGCAATACTGTATTTGGATTTCATATACTAATACTAAATGTTTTAATAGCCAGACGATTAATATATAAAGTTTAATAAATAATGAACTTAGTATTTTAAAAAATGGCAATTTGCTAGTAATTATTCATAGGTTTTAATACGAATGAGTTGTACAATAAAGTGAGAGGGCAGTGTCACTATTAGGATGAGGAGGAGGATTGTTTTGTGGATTGAATATTCATTTTGATCTTTTAATAGTAAGACTTAATTATTTTCAACTTTGCACACAACTCTTTCCTGCATTGTCCTGCATTTTCTTCCAGACCAGCATATTCATTTACATAACCTCCTCCCCAGAATATAAAATGGTCATCGCCTTACCTTTCAATGGATATGTTGTTAGAACGTACCTTAAATATGAAGCTGCTAAAGTCACTGACTGTCAAATAATAGTATTAGAGAATTGTAAGTTTCAAAATACAATTTCAGAAGTTAAAGAATGTATCAAAAATGCAAGAGGAAATGACTACATTGGAAGAATGAGTACAACAGAATCTGGTAGAACATGTCAGGCATGGAATAAACAAACACCACACCGTCACAGCAAATCGAATGTTGGAGATGCTAAAAACTACTGCAGGAATCTTGACAACGAACCAAGGCCATGGTGTTATACAACAGATAGCAGGAAACGTTGGGAATTTTGTAGAATTCCTATTTGTGGCAAGTAGTCTTTGATAGTAATGAACTCAATATAAAAAAGAAGATGTGGTATGATTGCCAATGAGACAACTCTTCACAAGAGACTAAATTACACAGAAATTAACAGCTATAGGTCATCGTACGGCCTTCAACAATGCAAGAGGAAATGACTACATTGGAAGAATGAGTACAACAGAATCTGGTAGAACATGTCAGGCATGGAATAAACAAACACCACACCGTCACAGCAAATCGAATGTTGGAGATGCTAAAAACTACTGCAGGAATCTTGACAACGAACCAAGGCCATGGTGTTATACAACAGATAGCAGGAAACGTTGGGAATTTTGTAGAATTCCTATTTGTGGCAAGTAGTCTTAGATAGTAATGAACTCAATATAAAAAAAGAAGATGTGGTATGATTGCCAATGAGACAACTCTTCACAAGAGACTAAATTACACAGAAATTAACAGCTATAGGTCATCGTACGGCCTTCAACAATGAGCAAAGCCCATACCGCATAGTCAGCTATAAAAGGCCCCGAAATAACAAATGTAAAACAATTCAAACGAGAAAACTAACGGCCTAATTTGAATCACACCAATGCACATTTTGATCTTTGACCTTTATGTTCGTATGTGATACTCTTTATTTCGGGTTACAGATTATTGTATCACAATTATCTAAGGCTGGCTCACTTTTAAACTGTTTTTTTTTATGGTGCGCATGTCCTGTAAAACTATAAAAATCAGTTGAAGAAGGCTTAACTGATAAGATCGATACAAAGCAGAAAAAAACATCAAACATAAACACAGACCAAACGTGGCAGGGTATTTATCCATCTCGTATTCCTAACAACAAAAAGGACACTAAGTACAGATCTGAGAGTACTTGCAGTTACTGACAGCTAGTTCAAAGCCAATAACAACTAGTAAAAAAACATGTATCTAAGACTGAAATATCAACCAGTACATATCCAGCATCCAATGGATTAGTGTAAAGACGTCATTAACAGTCAGAGAAAAAACATGACAAAAATTGTGACATTTTTATGTTTTTGTTTTTGTTTTTATGATCTTTACATGAGATCAGTTCAAAAGGAATTTGCATTCCTGGATATCAAATACGGGATCTTAGTCTATAACGAAACATGACTTCTAGAAACCGAACTGAGGTATCACTTTTATTATATTTACCAGGATATTACTAGAGCGAATCGGACTGAATTTTATGCGTGAAAAAGAAACTTTATGTAATATATATGATGTACCAATGGTCTATAGCTAGTAGATATGATTATAGCTGATATAGATGCGAGAACCTTAATTTGTAAACTTACAATTACAATGGCATTACCGAACTAATTTCAGAGAACTACTTCCTCTAAGGAAAACAGAATATATATATATATGATTTTCGAATATTTTACAGGTGCACCGAAACCACCATGTGGTGACATGGTAATAATGGCATGCCATTCAGATCGTCAACACAGAACGGAATGTCGTGTTTCAAACGCGGAGAGAATTAATTATATTGAACTTCAAAGTGGCGAGAACAATCCGTCTTGCACATTTGGTGTTACCTATGGTTTCTACGGAGTGACGATATGGTCAAAAGAGAGTTGCCGGGAAAAAATCAAAGTTTGCTTAACTCCAAGTATGTTTTCATTTGAGGATCTAAGATTGAAAAAATTCTGATATACTTTCTTCCTTATTCAGACATCTATGAAATATATTAAATCAACTTCATGGAGAGTACAATTTAAAGGAATTCTCTTCATTGCAACTGTTAAAAACATGATACCAGTTTGCATACACAACTGGCGTTTTTTAATAACCTTTTACAGGTAAACTCGAGATAAAGCATGACAAAAACATTTGAAAAGCAAATAAAGTAAAAAAAAAGCTACGGTACTTTTCTAAATTTGATCAAACCAATATCAATCAGTTTCACCGTAACTTTTTAATTGTTCATGCAAGCATATTGTTAACCAATCATATTTATACGTATATATTCAAATCTATTTAAAATGTACCCAATTTTTTGCGAGATACTTGACGAAAGTCGTCAAAAAAAGTGTTTTTTCTTGGTAAAAAACAGTAAAATAAATTTCTGCATAGACCTACAAGTGTATGCAGTTTGCATACAACTTTAGTTAAAATGACTAAAACGGTTTTCACACTAAAAAAAAGTCTATCGAATTTAGCTTATTCGCAAAATTTACGAACAAAAACCTTTCGCAGACATCTTTCACTTTGAAGTGTATCAATACCTTTTAAGTTTCGTTTTTAACAAAATTTCAGCACAACTTAGTTTGTTTGTAATTTATTCATTGATAATTGCCAGTTAACGAGTTTTTACACAGAGTTTATGAATGTATGACATGTTTTGTTATTTTACAGAGAATCGTGTTCCAATACTTCCTCCTCCAGAAGGTAAGTCACACTTTGTTTCTGACATTTTTTTGTTATATCAATGTAAGGCAAGTTTCCCCAAAGTTGTATATTGAAAAGGTTTAAAATGCATAACAAGTTGAGAGGCTCATGTGTTCGGCAGAAACCTATAGTATGATTTTGTCTTCACAAGAAGAAGTATGACAAGCAGAATTTAAGTTCCTGTATGTTTCCATTTTGTGCTTATTTCTTTTAAAGGAACGTTACAAAGCAAGAGAAGGGATAAATTCGGGGTAATTTGGCCACAAAAATTCATTAGAAATTATATAATGTATGATACCATTATTAATCACAATGCTTGGCATATGTAATTGAGAAAATGTGAGTATTAGCTTAAACATGGATTCGCACTTTGACTGTGACGTCTTTATGTATGGTGACACAATAATCGTGATGCATCTAAAATTAGGCAAATATATCTTTATTTACAAAAAGATATGTTGGATAAGTTATCGTTTAATTGTAAAAGTCAAAATTTTGCTTAATATCTCAACTTTTAATTAATATAATGGCATTGTATGGCTGTATAACCAATAACAATGGTGTATTTTCAACCAAAACTACAATGTCTTATTAAAGTATATAGGTTCGACGTTTGATTCTGAAAATTAGAGAGAGTTGAAAATATTTTGATTTTAGGGCCGATTTGATAATCGTACTTTTTCTTGACTTCACAATTATTTTTACTTCTTTCAGAATGTCGCAATACTGAAAAGGGAGAGGACTATGTTGGAAAATGGAGTAAAACTGAAACTGGAAAGAATTGTCAGAGATGGGACCAACAATATCCACATCAACATGCATTCTTTCTTGATGGAAAAGATTCTGAAAATTACTGTAGAAATTTTGACGGTTCTGCAAGACCTTGGTGTTATACAGAGGATCCTTACACTGAAAGAGAATATTGTGCTATACATAAATGTGGTGAGTTGACTTTATCGTTGATTTTTGTTTTCTTGTTCGCTCCTTAACTTGTTGAATTGGGGGTGTAAAACAAATCATGTACAAAGTTGCGTAATGATAACATGAAACACTACCTATTTCAATGCACAAGATGCGTATTTTGATTATTGATTACTCTTCAGAAATGATAGGGGTGAAATTATTTTGAAATCCAGAACCTCATACAAAATTGTGGTGATATAAACGAAAAGTAGCAAAAGTCTAGACCAAGCATGACACGTTATCGGAGATATATATGGAAGAGATACATTCCTTAATTTCAAAAACCATATAGGTAAAGTTGATGAGCTGACAATTGAGTCTATCATTTTTTTTTTAAATGTTTACTTTTTTTAACAAGGAACAGTATCAACAAAGTATCAATAAATAAGCATGTTATCAAAATTATTATATTTAGGTAGAAATGTCAATTGTGTATATTGTATGAAATCTACTCTAATATCGATTGTAAAGTGGAATTTATCGGAATGTACCTCCGGGATTTTGAAACACAAATACTGGTGCGTACAAATACCTCATTTGATCAGTTAGAGATAGTTACATGTTGACATGTAAATTGATATTTTACAAAATAATCGTAACTTATATTTTAGGCAATATGTATGAACTTTGACATATTTCTTTTCAAATAACATTTGTCCGTAAACAATAATTAAGAAAAAATGTACTAATATTATTATTATTCGAAATTAGTATTAAAATAAAGTGTATTTTTAATTTTCATTCAAAGCACCTGAAGATCCAGAGGATGTAGATGGTGAGTATTTTTTTTTTATCTTAAAAAGGAGAGGCTTAATACCAAGGGGCATTCAAAAATCATATATGTTAAAATAAAACAGACAATACCATGGCCCAAGGCCAAAACAATATTTAAAAAAAGATGAAAGAACAACCATATATATATATATATGTTAATTTGTCATTTATTCTATCTAGGAAATATCACTCTGACGAATCATTTATTGTAAATTAATGTAGTAATTTAATATATGGTATCTTTTTCAATCAAGAGTTGCGTATTTCGAAAAGACCTTGTGGCAACTATAAACAACAGGTTTTTTTAATTATAAAAGTACTTATTTAAACTTTGAAATAAACAAGAGTTCCTTTCATTAGTGTACCCTCTTAAACAAAATCAAGAAAATGAATGCAGCGTTCAACAAGTAATTTTAAAACTTCATCCTTCAAAAAAATATTTTTGTTTACCTTCCAGTAATAGAATTTTATCATCGTCATTTTTTTCGTTTGAATTCATTTTACTTTTGTAATTTCGGGGCCTTTCATAGCTTGCTATGCGGTATGTGTGTTGAACATTGTTAAAGACCTATAGTTGCTAGCGTCTACGTCATTTGGTCTCTGGTGGATAGTTGTCGTATTGGCAATCATACCACATCGTCACATTTTTAGATAAGCTTCTTATAAAAATCGGTATACATATGTAAAAGAAGACAGAAACTTCTAATAAAGACTTGGGAGTGCCACCCAAAACGAGATTGAAAAGTTTTAATCCGCAGTCTACATGTCGATATGTATCAGCTCCCGACCATGTGTAAAGACAGGGCCTTCTAGTATGTGATATGCTAGGTATAACCAGCATGTTTGTCCGAAGAAAGACAAAGTGATTATTGAGATTGTGATGCATTATAAAATGCTATTTTCAGTTTAACAAAATATAAATGGAATCGGTAAATTGTTGGAGACAACTTTTGTTGACCTCTCAACGTTATTTGCTATGTCGGTGTATTGCCGGCTCAACGAAGTTTAAACCACATTTCATGTTATTCATACATATTTCAGAATGTCGAAAATCTACAAAGGGTACAGAATACAAAGGTCGAATTAGTTTGACACAAACTGGGCGTACCTGTCAGTATTGGGAACGGCAATATCCACAAAAACACGTGTTTAGCAACTTGAAAACGGAACATAATTATTGTAGAAATCCTGACAACAGCGGACAACCATGGTGTTATACAAATGATCCAACTACACGTTGGGAATATTGTCAGATACCTATGTGTGGTAGGTTTTAATTATAAATCCTTGCATTCCAAAGTGTATAGAGCTAGTGATATCGGAATCATTAAATTGATTTAGTCCTTTTTTAAAATAAAACGACAAAATTAAACTGCTATATCCTTATTTAGTTTTTTACATTACTGTTTATGAACATCCGCGCACAGCATTTACTTTTCATTCTGTAATTTTATATTATAATATTTGAATAAATTAAAAATATTTGAATAAATTAAAAATATTTGAATAAATTAAAAATATTTGAATAAATTAAAAATATTTGAATAAATTGTTTATATACTTTTGTTATACACTATTGTCTTAAGTGAGAAGTGCAATACAAAATGTTTGATTTATCTAATACACAAACATTACCGTTACTTTTTTTTCGCAGTGAAGGTATCTGCAACTTTTCGTTGTTTTTTTTAGATATGCATAAGCAACACTACTTTGGAAAAGTATACAAAACAAACAGGTCCATATAAAATCAAGGATCTGAACATCTTTTTGATACATACAGCACCAACATTTTTACAAAGGTGATTAGCTATAAACCAGGTTTAATCCACCATTTTCTACATAAGGAAATGCCTGTACAAAATCAGGAATGTGACAGTTGTTTTCCATTCGTTATATGTGTTTGAGCTTTTGATTTTGCCATTTTATAAAGGTCTTTCCGTTTGAATTTCCTTTGGAGTTCGGTATTTTTGTTATGATACTTTTTTCATAGATGGTTGTTTAAATTATTTATATCTATATGTTTTTTTTTTTATTTAACAGCTGCTTGTTCTATTAGGGAAGAAATAGTAGAATGCAAAGCGACTGTTAGAGTCTCTGGTTCATGTTTCTATAAATCAAAAGTAGGATCAAGCTGTGTCTACACCGTGCAGCTGTCAGATTCACAAGCAATCATCAAAACATCAACACAGGAAATGGTACTTACAAATGGAGGAAATCTGGCTGAATGTGCTATTTTTACCTTCAATGATGGAACTCTAAAAATAGAGGATGACGTCTGCAAATGCTTTGAGGTGTTGGACAATAAAATTGCATGAAATTGTATGTATAATTTTTTGATAAAACTATCTATTGCAAAAAGAGGGGTTACATACCAAAAGGACACAAAGGGGAAATAAAATAAATCTATATCAATTAAGACCACCATAAATGTGACATTTTCAAACATTTCAAAGTATCTTAAATTCATTGTTGGTACAATATTTTAGAGCAGTTGATTAAAAGATTACAGGATTTCGTATTTGATTTGTTAAACACTATACTATATATACGTATACTGGATATAAAAAGAACAATATTAATATATATTAATATGCCTTCCTGTGGACTATTACGTACAATTTTGAGATTGCAAACCAAAATACGATTTAGCAGGTTAGACTTTTGCTTAATATATCTTTTCGTCGCATTTCGCATGTTATCGTTTTGCATGTACTATGTGCAGGTGGATGTTATTAAGGACCATACGAAGAAACTTTTGACCTAGCTATTAATACATACACGAAACTAAATGCATTATAAAACATTACTATATCTATGAAATACAGAAAAAGTGTAGAGCTTTATACATTTTCTTTTATATTTTCTTTTTTTTTTTTATGAATGTTGTTTTTTTTTAATTTCCAGATTCCATATCATCAGGAGGACTGAAAAGAATTAGAGGCATTGTGCTTAGTATAGACATAGTGCACTCCCAATAATTGTGTGCTTAGCTTTAACTATATTATCATCTAATAAAATAAAATTGCAGATATCATTTTCCTATATTCATTAATCTAATAATTATAACAAAGTACTAAGAAAGATTTAAGCATATGAATTGTATTGATATATCATGCATCTTACTTAAAGACATTGATCTCTGATTCTTCGTATATAAATTAAGGAGATAAGGTATGATTGCCAATGAGAAGACTATCCACCAGAATCCAAATGACGTGAGTTGGTCACTGTACAATCTCCAACAATGAGCAAAATAAATACCATATAGTCAGCTATAAAAGATCCTGAGATGTTAAAATGTGAAACAATTCAAACAAGAAAACCAACAATCTAATTAAAATTTGTTTTCTGCACTTGCTCCTCATTTTCGTTCGGTTGTTTATATGTCACGCGCGACATATAAACAACCGAACGAAACGAAAATGATGAACAAGTGCGGGGAACTAATTTTAATTAGATTGGTAAACTAACGGCCTGCTTTAAGTCAAAATAATAAACGAAAAACGAATATTACAGATAGCAACAAAAAACAGCTACTCAATTACAGGTTCATTACTTCGAACAGACTTATAAAGAATGTGACGAGGGTTTAAGCATTTTTGTAAGAGCTCAACTACTTTCCTAACATCAGTATAATAGCACAACATAAGCACAACATGTGAAATCATTTAGAAATGGCTAAACTCGTCTGATAGGCACAAAGCACAAAAAACTTGTAACATAAAGACAAAAGGCACATCTAGAGTACCGAAGTACGTGTAGATATCATTTGTCTATAACAACACACAAGAATAAGCCGATGTTATCATAAGTTATCGGACATTATGATATTAATAATTCGGAAAGTCTTTCTATGAAAGAAGGAACAATATAGGTCCTCAGAGAAAGTAGATATCTAGCTACCACTTGTTTATTTGCTTCATTTTTTGTTCTAATTTTCCACACCCCTCTGACGTTTACATAGGTAATGTATGAACAGTTTTGCCCTGTATTCCTAAACATTTGCCTCCGTTAAAGACATTGTGCACTCATAATGACATTGTGTTTCGCACATATAATTACATGTATCCACTGGAGACAAATTGACGCAGATGTAAGCAACTATATGTCCTCGTAGGACCTTCAGCTATTGAGGAAATGTTGATTTAGGGAACTATCGTCTTCAAACGATGCTACGTATTTTCGGCATAGTCAATGCTAAATACATACTAATTCTTTGAAATACTGCATAAAATAAAAGAAGAAAAACAATTATATCCTGACAAAAAAGTCAAATAACTCAAGCTGTATAAGTAGATATGAAAAAAATGTTAATTTGTCTCAGTATGATGAATAGACCTCATCGCTATTTGGGAATCTGCGACACTTAACCTGAGAATTTGCGACACTTAACCTGAGAATTTGCGACACTTGAACTATTGATGTCATACAATAATCCCTTTTTCTTTGTGGCGTCAGTCATTTTGATTGTGACGTCAAAAATTTACGGGAACCTTTAAAATGCCCAGTAATGGCGGATAAATAGCGATAAGGTGTTTTGGAATGAATCCTTGATTAAAAGTTTCAGATAACAATATTATCTATAGGTTCTCGTACGGCCTCCAACAATGAGAAAACACCATATTCGTCGTCCCAATGTTTGTAATGAATGAACCGACGTTGCTAAGTTTGACCCGAACTTGTCAAGTCATCTTCCGGTTTGCTGGTGAAACAAAGAAAACACGTGTTTCTATCATGCAAAATAGGCAATTATAACCCGATAAATCGATTATCTTGTTGTCAGCATATTTATATTGTAAAATATCAGCTGATTGACACAATATGAGGCCTTTGTGAACTAGTTCGCTGCGCTCAATCCACAAAAGTTTCATATTATGACTCGCAGCTGATATTTTACAATATCAATATGCAGATGACCTAATAATCGGTACATATAAGTCAATTTTTAATTAATTGCTGAATTATAAGTTATATAAAGATATAAACCTTGGTATGATGTATTGGGATGAATCCTTGACTAGAAGTTTCATAATCGTTGTTTTGTCTTTTCGTAGTTTTCTTTTTGGTCTGCTTTTATTGGAATTTGTTCTTGCTTTCTTTGTATTTTATCTCTTTCTTTACGTCACCATATGTTATAACATTCGTCCTTATTAAATAAATGACAAGTTTTATGTCACGTTAATGTCTCTTTTTTAACTTATATGTTTTGGAATAAAATAAAGGAGAAGAGCGCCATATGTCCTTACATGTTTACAATTACAAACAGCGACACCTTTCATGCATAAATGTCCAAATACACTGACACGAGAGTCTTTATAATTTTAAGAATGGTGAGTGCCATATGGCAAGGTCTGTTTTAAGTTCTATACAATGACGGGTGCTATTGTTTTAATTGAACTGTATTGAATTATTGTAATTATGGGTGACCTATTTCTAGAGGTTCAAGATTATGTACATTTACGGATGAATCATGTATATTCACATATCTGAAAGATTAATTTCTTTTGAATTGGTCAACAGAATTTTTTTTTCTAGACATCAGTAGTCCATATACTTTTTTACTGATGCAAGATTTTACATTTTCAAACAATAATATGCAGGTCATAAACTTTCGAGACATTTAATTGTAGGTCGTGTTCTTAACGTCCGGTGGCAAATATAACAAGCATTTTAAAGAAAAAAATTATAACTTGATTTCAAAATTTTTGAAAGTTAAGAATAGATAGGAACCATTTACTTTTTTTTTTGCTTTTCGAGCAATATTGTTTTCAGTATAATCCCAAATGTACAGCGTAGGATTTGTTATCATTTAGCTTATGTAAAATGTATGATGGAAATAAAATTACCAACCCTTCTTACTGTATTTTGACCTCTGTATGTCTTTTATGTGCATCGATGGTTGTTGTCTCGTTGAAGTTAACCTCACATCCTTATATTCATATATCCTATACAAGTTCAATATACATAAATTCTTGGCTTTCCTTATGATTACATGATACGTTACGTTAACATAATCGATTCGAAAAACAACTGCTACAGATTACGCAGATCTACGTCTTCTCCTTTCTGTACTGATATGGGCAAAATACATCATTTTAAAACATAATTAATCTAGGATTGAGCTAATATTCATTTATTCTCACATAAACAAACGCATACATACTAACAATAAATAATAAAACAAAAAACATAAATCACCAGTAAACAATACAGCGGACCATACAACCACATTACAAAAAAAAAAAAAAAAAAAAAAATTCAACCAGAATGAACACACTGAAATGTATCGCCTTATTTATTGATCATGATTGAATGTTATGCTAAAAATCTCGAAGATCAAGTTTTACTACAGATTTAGCATAAACTAAACATTTTCAATGATGAATTAAAACGAGGTCATGGTCAGCCAGATGGAAATTTACACCTTTGCAATTATTCCATGCACCAAATAGAGTTCAGTTAAGATATCTGAAAATACAACTAAATCACGAAAACATAAAGATGACCAATGAACCATGCAAAGGATATCAAGGTCAGACGAGCCCTGACAGACGGACATGCACATCTTAAAATCATTCTATACATCAAATACAGTCGATTTGTTTTCAAATTGAAGATGCTTATCTGATTTAATCTGGAAAACTTAACGTAAATATGCTTTAAATATAAGCAGCATCCAAGTCTTCTACCTTCTGAAACATAAATAAAATTGAGAATGGACACGGGGAATGTGTCAAAGAGACAACAACCCGACCAAAGAGCAGAAAACAGCCCAAGGCCACCATAAAGCATAACACAGTCATATAGTTGACATCACCGTTGCTGCAATCGCCAGATTAGCTTACCAAGATAAGTTTACAATCGTGGTTATATGGGATGATTACAATAAAACTTTCTATAAGTAAATGCAATAGTCATTCGAAAAAAGCACAGGTTTTTTTATTCAAATTTATTGGAAAATACACTAATTTTCACCCCAAAACACTTGATTGGTATAGCTTGATGCTTTACAGCTCTTTATTACGCCCTACCATCATTTAGCCATTTAGGTAAATTAAGTATATCAACAAAGATTGCAAAAATGATAGGAAATAAAATCACAATGAAGCCACCTATTCCAAGATACTGTGCAGATTTCCTGGAATCGTATGCAGACCTTTTATTGCCACTGTATAAAGTCGTGTCTTTCTTGTTGACATACATTGCATTCTTCAAAAGTACAAGTCTTTTGGCTAGTGTTGTCTCTGTCCAAAAAGTGTTATCTTTATGCAGACAATATGCACAAGCACATGAGAAATGCTTGCGTCTGACAGCTGCTGTGACTGTGGACGGTGAAGGAGTTGTCACATTTGACGTAGTATTCATTTCCGCTGTTTCAATCAAACAGTCTAAATATTGAAACACTGACATTAAGATAAGTTATTTGCAAATTAACATTCAATATAAACACGATATGTTCTTGTCTTTAAAGAAATAGCACTTTGTCAGGTCTTAGATGATAAATAAATTTTTTGTTTCTTGCTTTTTCTTGTTTGTTTTCTTTTTTCTTTCTCAAATATTTTTCTATTATTTTTGTAACGGATTTTGGTTTTATCTCTTTTAGTCTCATCTTTATTACATGATGCTAATTAGTTTATATACCTATTTGATTCTGGATTTCTTTGATCTTCTTTGAAGATGTATAAATTAAAAGGAAATGTGAGAAGCTGTATATATAATCTTGCATTCAGAGACTGATGATAAATAAATATTCCAAAACATTTAGGTTTTTTTATTATCATAGATTTCACTTTTTTCTTCAGACAAGCAATTTCCACCATCTCGTTTATAAATACATAACAAAGGGTTAATGGTGTGTTTAAACACCTTGATTCCATGATAAAGTATAACATAATATATTACGATTTGGTACTTAAAATACATGTACAGTACACACCATCTTCTTTCATTGAAGACTTTTGGTGTCTTTTGGTGTTCCGTCGAGTTTAACTTAAGAATTAGAGGTAAGAACAAAGACTGGTCGGCTCTAAG